TTTCAAACAAAATTTGTGTGATGCGGACTCTAGTGGGGGTGCTCATCATCATTCTGTTGTGTAATTTCACAGTAAAAATAACCAAATCAAAAACTCCATTTTCAAGTTGTGTAACAACAATGTAATGTCACTTTAACCGGAAGTTTACTTGCGTGCGACGTCATTTTAGGCTCCGCCAATCCCAAGCGTTTTGGGTCACGTGACAATAGATAAGAAAATTTATCTTTTTCGTGGATTTTTAGTAAAATATGAATATTTTTTTGTAAAAATAGTAAAAACCCCTGCCAATATTCATTCTAAACACAGATGCTAACAATTGGCACTTTATTTTTAATACTGTCAAACACCCTATTACCAGTGCCTATTTCACCAAACCGATAAAAGTCGCATACATATGTAAGCCGACAGTTGTTGCGGGGTGATCTATTATATCTAATTTTTCATTTAACTCTGTCATCAAAGTCATCAGTCAGTCTCAAAATACACTCGGTATATCAATGGAGAAAATTATTCATTTTTTATAAATTCTCCTGTATTAGAACTAATATTTCCGAGCTTTCGCGGAAAGCTATGTTGTAACTAACTACGAAAGATCCCCTCATGTTGAGATTTTTAGAGAATTTGTCAATTATATTAACTAAAAAAAATTTACCCTTGTTTTACAACACAAAGTATGAAATATTGACAATTTTAACAAAATTCCTGTTATTTTTATGGCACCTGTCGATTTGGGGAAATAGGGCATAATAATCAATTTTATCATATACCAAAATACCTATATAGACTATAACTGTAATACGACCCTGTCATGCAACCAGTTGTATGCAGTAAGTGCTCCATAACTTTTATACTTATAGTAAAATTTTACTAAAACTTTTTTTTTACCACAATTTGTACTGAAGATCCACAGCTTAATGAAGCTATATCTTGTTGTCATATTATAAGGACTTGACAAAGATGTAAAATGAAATTTAACAATGTCTTGTTCTTTTAAATATACATATTACTAGCTGACCCAGCGAACTTCGTACCGCCCTAAAAAAATAGGGGTTGTCCAGCGGACAAAATTGTGAATCTAAACCATTCTCATATCCCCTTGAACACACACAAAAAATTTCATCAAAATCGGTCCAGTCGTTTAAGAGAAGTTCAGTGACATACACACTCACAGAAGAATTATATATATAAAGATTAGAACATGGTGATATTTATGTCACAGAATTATTGTTATAAACGATAGTATTATTATAATCGCTTCCCACCGAATGTAATACGTATCTCGCACTACAACTAAGTGAATTTTTTTCAACTGTGATTTATTTGTTATTTTAAACTTTTTCTAGTTTTTCAAGTTTTAGAGTTATATATTGTGTATTTCTAATTTTATTTTAGTAACACTTTCTATTCTGTGATTTACTGCTTTATCTGTGTTTGTCGGAGTTATATTGTTGTATAGGTATAATGTGAACAATTGGCATTAGTACTAAGTTTCAAACGTGATAAAATTAATCATTAGTATTTTCCAGCTGCTGTAGAGGCTTTAGATTTCACCCGTCATTTGCCGGGGTTTAACCACCCTTACATCATCATTAGTGATGTATAGTAAATTGGTGTTTTTGGTTTCGCGTTGCAAATCGTCCTAAACTATTAATGGTTCTTCACATTAAACCAGCAATTCTGACTAAAATATGTTATCGTGGATTCCTATTCGAAAATTACTAGTCATCAAAATTCCTATTTAAATAATTTCTTTAAGCTCAAAGATATTGGAGATTTATTACATTTTATTTGTGTTTACTATTTGGAATATTCTGCTGTCAATCTAAGAATTTTTAAAGTATGAGTATATCAGAAGTTAATTTATGAATGAGGTTCTGAATCAATTTGGTTCAGAACCTCAGATCAGTGTGATTTTTATGTTTTTGGTAATCAGATTAAAGTGTAGTAAAATGCAAAAAAGTATAGTGTCAATATTATAATAGTAAAACAAATGAATAAATAAAAAAGACCCCCCTGTTCTGTCTTACTTGGTACTGAGTAACTGGGGTCTTTAAGGCTTCCGTATTTTGAGTGGCAAAACTTTTTTTTATGTAGGCTTACAACTCTACGAGTACGCCTTTCACGAGAACCAAATTAAAAAAAAAAACTAAAACAGTACTATTTATATAAAATTATGTAAAAACAATTACTTGGAAAAATATGGTGCTATTTCCAGTATTTATGAACGTAATATAGCCAGTAAATGTAATAATACTTTTCATTTTACATATCGTCGCTGCGCCTGGAAAATCCGACAAGCGTATTTTTTCCGAAATTGAGCTTTGTGGCTACTTTGGCTTAATTTGCGACGCCCGATAGGGCTATAAAACCCGTTTTGTCAAAAGTCAGTTTGCAAGAAAAGTAACATAAACAGCTATGTATTTGTCAAAGAAAAATAGGCGTCAAAATGCGCTTTGTGTCGGTGGTATACATAGCGTATTTTCCACTCATAGTCGATGCGCTATTCCTGCGCCTTTATGTTGCACATGGCGGTAATTTTATTTGGCGTGCAAACGAAACTACACTATTTAACTTGTTTGTTTGTTAAACAAGTATTTATTGCAAGTTTCACATTATTAACTTATTGTAAAGGATTGGATTTTAAATTATTGTAGAACATACGGAAATACTTATTTCAACAAACAGTACCGTGGAAATAAATGTAAAAAAGTGAGTTTTTGGTGATTTTCCTAAACACAACCTCAAACTACCCATTTCGTTAAAATACTATATTATTATATATAATTATTATCTTCAAACTTTTTATTCCGTCGTTAGATGCGCTGATTTTATTTATTTCTTGACGTTTCGCAGCGTTTGCAGGAATGCGTCTTCAGAATAATGATTTTTTATTTACTTTGTCGAGCTACCTTCGAAAGACTTTTATTCAGCATTCGGATATTTTATTGGTAGATTTTTAAAACTTTATTGTCTATGCATGAATCTATTAGTTAATTAAATAATAAAGTACTTTCGTTAATTCCTTTTTATAATTTTAAGTTTATTTATTTGATTCTAACTACCGTAAACTACCTCCGGTTCCAAAATTAGGAGACCTTCCAAAAAAGAACCGGCGAAAATAAACTCTTTCGGGAGGCTTCCTTTCTCCTTCTTATGTTAAATCATGCAAACAAAAAGAACTAATTGTATCTGTTGGTCTATGTCTAATAGCTCAGGGTAAGAATTTTATCTGGGTTCCTAAGCTGGAGGTATATACCAACTAACTACCCTATTTAAATTTGGATATTGCTTAATCTCAATAGCCAATATCCAAATTTCAATAGGAAACTATTAACAAGCGACGCAAGACATCGGAAGATTTAATAGAAACAGATCATAAAAGAAACAATGGCATTGATTGTTATTTGCCGAGACATGACGGTATCAAACTGAGACTTTGCAGAGACTTTTAACTAGCGACACTAGATATTAAAAAAAATCTTTCACAGATTGGATAAGAGCAGAAGATGCCACGAAACATACAACAACAAGACAACAGAATCAATGACATTGCCAAGTAATAATCCAAACCAGATCAAACGAAAAACATTGAAATCTGATTCAGTTACGAAGTGGTTAGATGCGCTACAGATGGTGCCTAGCCATTATTGTCGCGCAAACAGTTCCAGGATATATGTTGACGATGCACTGCAATCATTGACGAAAATGTATTCCGTTTATTATTTTTGTTGCTAGGAAAATGAGTTACCAGCCTTTCAAAGAAAGAAAAACGACAAATACATATTTTACAATATAAATTAACAATAATAAACTAAGTTTGTAACAAGCATTCTCGATTTTATGGAAAAACTAAAAGAATCGAATGGATACCAAAAATTTGGTTTAACATCAGATGGCTGTGCATACCAGATCAAAAACAAAGTCTGAGTGAGTGCATTGCCTGACATTTCCAATAAAGAATCGATAGTCATCGACCAAATTATTTTGGAAAATGACTCCATCCTCCTTCTCCTCCATCATTGTGTACCCCTTGCACACAATGATGGAGGTGGACAGTGTGCACTCTACTCTAGAAAAGTTTTTCAACCACCACTATATACCCCTGGCGACTATGTCTACCGGATCCGACAAGCAAGACCAACAAAGCCGTACGAAGTGACTAACGTCGCCCACACTTTCTTCAAAAATTGTGACGATTTGCCAAGTAACTTTGCTTCGATTCGGCCGAGCAAAAAAACAGGAGATCCAACTGTTACAGATATTAGGGCACTGCTTTGTAAACAAGGCAAAGCTTGGTTTAAAAATTTTCACCCAGATGACTGGGTACTGCTACCACAACGAAGAAAACCTGAGTTATATCAATCACCTGCACTGTTACACGAAAGACCTAGTAAAATAGAAAAAAGCAAATTCGACCAACTTCAATTGTTTAAGCCTTACATGCATCGAGATTACCATTCATTCTACGACAACCTAAGATTTTAGTGTACTTGTTTACCAAATGTCGCAGCGAAAATTTCAGTACCTGCCATAATTTTTGTCCTACTAAAACTACTTCCTGTCTAATAAAATGTTTTTTTAAAGCAATGTTCTTTGTCTGGCTTTCTAGAGGCGTACCTTCTAGTTGAAAAATTTCATGATGCAGATTGACGTGTTAACTATTCTATTTAATAGAATAAATACGTTTTGTGGATATATAGGCTAGTGAAGGGTGTTAAATCTTAAACGGGAAATCAGCTTTGTGTCAGAAAAATACATAGCGGTGTTTTACGACACAAAAAAAACCAGCTAAGTGTCTTAAATTATGAAAAAAAAATCTCTATCAAAGAGATGTTATTGTTTCTTGAAACTTAATTTGTAATCTATTGTGTAACATATTTTTTTATTTTTTTGCATATTTGATTTTACACCTAAGTATTCAATTTCAGCTCCAATCAGTTTTTTATGGCTCCTGAAAATTTTGATTTTGACGTTTGTCGGTTTTTCCAAGCGCAACGACGATATCTAAAGCAGATTATATTGTATTCATCCACTATACAGTATAACAGGAAAGGTTGTCAATAAGAAGATTGTGTTTTTATTTTATACTTTTAATCAGTGTGTTGTCTGTCCAAAAATATAATGCATACATAGCTATCAACACTTCAACAGGCTACCGATTTACAAAGTGCACTTTCATCGCTAAAACAAACTGTACACATGATGCCGTGCCGCAAGTGTCCTGCATTAATATCGCTATTTTAAACCGTATCAGAGAGTTTGAGGAAATAAATTAATACCGATACAAATGAAATAAATATTCGTCCCGGTAAGTAAGCTACTAACTAATTTAGGCGTGGACATTACGCGGCACAGCACCTCACACTAAATACAAATAAAACAAACATTTCGTACACATCTAATCTTATAAACAATTAACAGGGACAAAGCTCCCTGTTGCTTTGTTTTAGACCTTACCGGAAACACACAAGGTGCAATTTCAACATCTACAAGACAAGTTTTCGTTTCAATCAATCACCTACAAGAAAAATTGACATTGCATATCCAACTGTTTAAGATACATGAACAAAATGAACCAACAATACAGGTTTTTATGTAAACAGCACAGGTAGACAGACAATTTAATAGATCTATAATTTCATTTCATAGAGCTAATGAATCAGTTCATTCAGTAAGTTAGGATGAAGAAATTTAAAAGCAGCATTGCGGTCAAGCGTTCTAAAAATATATTATGTACGTATTATTTAATTTACCCTGTACATTTTAAAGACAAAGAATTATACTCCAATTAGTAGGCCGAATCAGGATTTCTACTAAGAATCGGCAGTGTTACCTTTTTGTTGACTGGTTAAGAGGTAATAATGTAACTGCCAATGAAAGTGAAACTAAATATCTTTTATTAGGTACTGCTAACACCTAATACATTGTTAATAAGTTACAAAATATATTTGTTACAATAAATATGGCTTTATTATAGGACAATTTTGTTTCAATTTAGCAATAATCTTATGAAAATACTTGCTGCGCTGCATCAATGATAACGACGCAATATTCCAAAATCTTATTATCAATGGCACAAAACAAAATGTCTTGTTAAAGAAACACTGATACTACAAAGACCGAAAGATATAAAATTTCTTTACAGCTATTACTAGAAGTATGAAAATACTATGTTTCATTACTAATGGCACTTCTAAAAGTTTTTTTTTTATTATATTTATGAATTTTTCAGAATGTCGTCGATCGCTGTTACATTCCCGCGATCTTTAAGAATAATACTTATTAATAACAAATGTCAAACCTTTTTAATAAAGTTGATCAATAAGCTTGGCCCAGTTACGCAATTTTTGTCTCATCGTCCACTAACAATATTTTTTAAATGTTTAAATCAAAAATGTAAAAAACTGTGTAACTAGTCCATGGTTATTATTTCTTTAATAGGGGATAAAATAATAATCATAAACTTGCACAAAACCGACTGATCTTATTTACTTAAGGAAATGGTATTCAGGAAAGATAAAGCCACTACAATAGTGGGCACTGCTGTGGTATGAGGTCTTTGTATAGTGTTCATTTCAAATTATTCCTTATAAAGTAGTACTGCTAGCTTCCGTTTCAAGATATAATTAGATAAAATAATTCTTTATCCATATAGACTGGCTAACATTTTTTACGAAATAAAAAACACCCGGTATATTGTAAGGACACTAAAATCAGTCGATTCTAATAAGAATTAAGAATCAACTATAACACACACAAAATACAGTATATTGTAAAAAAATGCATTAATGAACAAGAGAAAAAGTATTGCTTCTCAAATCAAATATCTATGTTTATAAATTCATTCTCACAACCTGCTACCGAATTAATAATTTACAAGGAGACGATATGATCTAATATTACATACGTATATTACAATATAATTTGCGATATAACGTGAGATCTAACATATAAGGAACTAAAATAATTCGTACTCTGATACATACAAACACGCAACAAAATATTAAATTATTCGTATTAATAATAGTAAAAAAAGAACTACTACTTTGTTAAGTCTATCTACAAACAGCACATAGTCATTGAATCAGGAGGTAACTGCCGGCTGCTTCATACACAATGCTGAGTAAAGGAGCTTCTAAGACGGCTTTTATTGCTGCAGCCTGTTCAGATGAGACGATTTAGGCACATTCAAAATCGCGCGTTCCGGCTCACCACTGGCTCGTTTCGTATTACGTACAGACAGGGTGCGATCTAGAAATTTTGCCGCCCTTTAGTGACGGACTTTACGGCTGACCCTAAGTAAATTTTGCCGCCCATAATTTTTGAGACAAAATTTAACGAGCACATCCCTACGTACAGACAGACTCATTGACACAATAAATGCAACGAGCACATGCGCTGCTACGTAAAAAAACATATTTTGCATTTAATAAAGCCATAAGAATATCCTAGCACATATACGATAACAATCAAAGAACACAACAGTCTACTAACATAGAGAAGTTACACGCAAAATGCATATAAAGCCTGATGCGGCTTGGGTTGTATGACAATCTTTTTTCGTCGATTTCCCACATCAAAGGATTTAAAAGAGGTAGCAATGGTCGCCGTAATTAAATGCACTTCCCTAGTCGTAGTCCTTGCGTCTTAGATTTGTCTCGTCAGCGTTTCCAATGCAAATAGGTAATGGTTTGTGTACAATGTGGCAGGCAGTTTCCGAGGGTACATTTTCTGTTAAAGCACCGTAAGAACTAAACTTAGAATATCTTAAATGTTAAAAAAGAAACTAAAATAATTTATAAAAGATGTATATAAATATTTGTTCTACATTTGCTCTAGTTGAGCGTTAGTTAATCGACTAATATAAAACAGTGCAAAATGAATCGAAACACTAGAATACATTTCGACTGTTCGCTGTGCAAGCAGTATTTCATGTTTGAAACTACTTGTAAAAATGGTTATAATACCTGAAATCTCCACAGTATAATGCGATTCAAATAAGAATAGGAAAGCCAATGACCTCTATCTGTCAAATGTCGCTTGAAAAGTACAGTTTGCAAAAAAAACTTGGAACCCTCTTTTAGCAGTCCGCTAATTCAAGAATAAAAACCAAACATTTGTAAACAAAGAATAACAAATATTGATAATTAATATCGGTTGTTATTTTTTTTCACTTATTGAGCTTTGGCCATGAATGGTTGATAACCTAAATCTGACGATTTAGGTTTGGTTGACACTAAATGTCACTTTAACTTGCATTCAGAAACTCTATTTCAATCTTCCGTTTACATAAAGGATGCATGTTCGTATGTGATCTAGTAATAGTGTATGATTAATCATAACTACTCCGGCGGTAATGCAGAGATGAGCGGAATAGAAGAGCTAGATTCTGATTAATGTTTTTTCTCACAGTCTTAATAAATAAATATTATTAAAAATCGATGGTTTTTTTCTCTCAATCTAAATGTTATTAAAAAAATTTGATGCTTTTTCTCACTTAATCTTAGTAAATAAGTTTTATTAAATAAAATTTTTTTTTTTGCTCACTACCTATTTGGTTTGAATTGACAGCTATGACATCACAATATGGCGCCCAGTCGGTCCTATTCTTAGTTGAATCGCATTATGAACATACTTCATACGAAGCTATATCGCATTCTTCAAACGAATTAACATTATAGTTTAGTGAAATTAAGGGTATTAAAATAAAACAGTGTTTTAGAATTCGCAATTACAAAATAATACTTATCATATGGCTTGCGTTCGGTCAAACATTTACAAAACTGAAATTACCGACGCTTATCATTTGTTCCTCTAATAATTTCACTTAAGTTTACGTTTATAAAAACTAGAAATACATTTCATGTAGTCTCTACAATTACGTCATCAAATCAGTCCGTCGAATATCTATTTGGGGTCCGCGGGTGTTTTTGCTGACTTCTATAGATAAAAGTCACCAGAAAGAAGGCGTATTTTTATTATATTATAAACTTCAAACAACAGCCCTTACAGTCGAAAATTATTTAATGTTCGATTTAACTTGACAGTGTCACTTTTTTGCGATAACAATAGAATAAACGACATGTCTGTTTAACACGCAAGCTTTAAACAATTGACGTCTCTTAAGTGCGGTCGTAATTTAATTTTTTACTAAATATAGCACAGAGATATTACAAAAAATATTTATGAGGTACCTTAATCTGTGGAAAAAAATCGCCTGAGATAAAATATTTCTGACTATCAATTTATCAGAAATATTTTGTTATTAACACCTTTACTTACATAGTTTTAACTGTAAACCGTATAAATGCAATCGATGTCTCATTACTAGTAGGTATAGTAAGTGGCATATCATGTCCGCTGAGCTGTTATGTAACGGAACTTTAATAATAAAATATAGTTACTTATAGCACATCCGTCAACTCTGTACCTATATACTATTAAAACAAGCCAGAACAGTCATGTCCACTATGTTGGAAAACTCGCACTCAAAAAGGAAACCCCAAATAAAATTCTTTAATTCACTCTACTACTTAATTTGTCCCATATATTGTCACACCACAAACTTTAGGTTTTATAATATACGAACGCTTTCGCTTCGCTTTGTTCACTAATGTTGTCTGCGCTTTAGATTAAAAACGCGACGATATTCAAGAAAGCGTCCACATAATATGACTCTGCCAATAATACGAATATTATGCCACCACTTGAATTATCTATTTGTTAACTTGACATCAGTCAGTCTGTCTTTTTTATTCCTTTAAAGCATGATAAGGACCGACTGTTGTCAGGCCTACAAATAGCAAATACGAATGGCCAAGTGAAGTGCCAGCGTTATGCTAGTCCTCACATGGCTATTCAATATTTGATACTTGTTAACTTGACAATAGAGTCTCCCTTTCATTCGCTATAGATAGAGCATTATATGGATATAAGAAGTGCCGACTATAACTTGACTTACAAGCCTTCGAGCGCATGAATTTTGACTATCATTCATTATCGAACTACCCGCAACGTTTTAACGACTAGCTAGCGCAGCTGTTACGTACAGCAGCAATAACACAAGCGCACAGCGAACAGTGCCATCAGCTAGGGATATGTGTCAGCTTCACCCTACCTTTCTACTCAACAACCTACCTATGTATTATTAACATTATACTACAAAACTAGGAGCCCTTTCTCCTAAACGTTAATTTACAGTCGTTGTTCATCTTTTTTTTAACATTTACAAATGAGCACGCAGCCGTTTTCAACCAATCACGGTCGCATAACTTTGTTTATTAACATCAAAAGAATTAAAGTAACATAAATGTTACTGGATCAGTACTGCCAACAACGCATCAATTACTACCAACTGTCAAATTTTTCAATCGCGATCCTTATATCAAGCGACGTTAAGGTCAAAGTCTGTTTATTTTTGTTAGTTAAGGATAACTTAATGCTTGTTGCTGACTGTACATTGTCGTTAAAGTGGTTGACTCGCACGATATGAGTATAACTCGTGCTACTCAAGAAACGAATCGAAAATACCGACACAAGACTTTGTCTCTCTCGTACGTTACTTGAGACAGCATGTGTGAGAGGGTCAGAATGACTTACGTCGTATTTTTTTTTATTGGCGCGTGTTATAGACATTATGTTGTACCCGCGTTACTGTCAACGCATATTAATATTTTGCTCCATGAAGGTGGAGTACGAAATTAACCAATCGAAGTTTCAGAACTCTGATTCACTTAAACTGCAATTATAACTATTGTCCAATAATTTTGTGTAAAAGTTAATCACATTTGAGTTAAACCTTTTTATTCACTTAAACTGCAATTATAACTATTGTCCAATAATTTTGTGTAAAAATTAATCACATTTGAGTTAAACCTTTTTATACGAAGGACAATCAGTTTTTTTTTGCTGTTCTTTAAATATTTTTTTCGAAAAGATTAGGCCGCGTAGTTTAATATTAGTTCACGATTGTGTAAATGCAATATTAATAACGCGATGTTTAGGAACCCACTTTATATTTTGGCACCACATCAAAAGCACCTTGAGGACACGCAGTGTGTGAAGAAACACAGTCTCAAAGAGAAGGTAGATTTATTATAATAAATTATTTGCAAAAAAAAAAAAAACAACCTTCTTCTGAGAACTTGGAAAAAATAAAATATTCCAGTTCGAACAGAGAAACGAAATATAAGAATGCTAAAGTAACTTGAAAAGATAACATCTGTTGCAATACAAACCATGAAGCAAATGTTACCTCACAGACCTGTACGGAAACCTTATATTCAGATTTGTTTTAAAAATAAGGAAAAAGTATAAAGAACTAGATATATAAGTACGTTTTAGAAATGATAAAAGTGTTGTCAATACCTATAATCATAAGCATTATTTTACAATATAGTTGATCAACAAAACTATTTGTACCGAGAAACTCTCAAAAGAAAAAAAAATATTCTAACATATAGTTTAAAAACACTTGAGTCCTCGCGTATCGAACGTATTAAGTATAGACCAAGGCGAAACTGTCGACCGTCGAAAATAATTTCAATGTCTCTATGAGCGCGTGATACCAAGCGGTCCGCGGTGCTAGAAATGATTCCAACATATTTTTTAAAAACACTTCGCGTCCTCGCGTAACGACGTATAGTAAGTATAGTCGAATGTGAAACTGTCGAAAATAATTTCAATGTCTTTATGAGCGCGTGATACTTAGCAGTCCGCGGTGCTAGAAGTTCTGCTGCCGCTTCCTCTTGAGGTGTATAGCGTCGAGGATCGGCTGCCGCTTGCGGGTGTACCGCGCGCGCAACTGCTCTATCTCGGCCTCCATTTCAGCGTCTAGTCGCGAAACGCGAGCTTCCAGTTCACCCACGGGCAGACACGATAACTAAGCAACGTGTGGATTGTTTCATTAGTAATACAAATCAACTTAGTTGTAACAAAGTTTATATTTGAAACAAGCGACCAGTACCATTAGCACAAACCAATATGAAATGTAAACAGTACCCCTAGCACGAACCATTATCGAATTCGAATAGTTTGCAAACCGAAATGTCAAAGTCAAATTTTGTATGGAAACTTGAACAGCAGCGGCACAAAGTACGTAACGAGAACTAAAAATCATTACACCTTTGACAATGACATTTCGGACTCGCAAACGATACGAATTCGATATTGGTTCGTGCTATGGGTGCTGCTGATTTCAATCTCGATACGCGTCAAATGTCAAGAAGTTTTTTATTGAATATTTTTAATACCCGTTGTAGCGCTATTAAATTTTCCATACAAAATTTCATGACATTAAACGCGTATTGAAACCGAATTCAACTATTCGAATTCGATATTGGTTCGTGCTAAGGGTACTGATTAAGCTTTGGATGGAAAAAAAAATTTTTACACGATTAAATATAGTTAGTCAAATCAGCAAGAAAAAGGGCGGAAACAGACTTTTGAAACTCGACGCCACGCTATGCGTGTTGAGTCAAATCAAATGTGGTATTGTCTATGATCAAAATCATATTAGGAACATCCGACGCGACGCACATACACTTAACATAGAAAATACTCGTCGGGTAGCGTCGCATTTTAAAAGTCTGTTTCAGCCGTAATGTTTCTTTCTACTGTTGAAAGACAAACTCGGTTCAGTAGTTCCAGCAAATATATCTATCGAACATATTGCAAAAAAAAATACAATTTCGTCTTTCAAATTGCATCATATAAAAAATTCATGCAGAAAATAGAATATTACTGTTTTCAGACTGTGTTGAAATTTAAGAAACAGTTTATTGTGTTACAATTACTAAAAAAATAATGTGCATTAGTTATGAACAGAAATAAGATTTTGTTATAGAAAGCTTTGCTAACTATTCTAATAATCAGGTGAAGTTAGGGTTATTTTCTAGGTTTTATTGATTTTCAATCTTATAATACTTTTGTAGTCAAAGTAAATTGACTATATCTAATATGAACTAGGGCAGAGTCATTGAAATGGATTTCCGAAACACTAACACAGCAGATTAATATAATAATAATAATATATGTTCTTAAATAAAACATTAAACAAGCAATCATGCATTTAGTCCGACCCTGGCGTTATTTGGAAATATTAGAAGTTAGTGAGCTGTATGTTAACACATTTTTACTAACTAATGTGGATTTAAATTATATTTCTTCATGTAATGTTGAAAAGGCCATTCACCGTTTTGTGCACTGAAGAGTATTAGCTGTCTAAGAAAATTTAACAGCAGACACCTACTACAAAGGAAAATATTACTTATACTCAAGGCATCTGTGCAGCTAGCGTTTGAATTTTTCAATATTAAATCTTATATATTTGGTACAAGGAATATTTCGCTTTGCAGAAACCAACTGTCAAAGAGTATTCCAGCGGACAACAGGAAGGTACACAAAGGTTTAAGAATTGATCAATGTTTTAAACTTAGTCACTCTTCAGTTACCACAGAGAAGGACCAATAGACCACTAGAGCCAGGGCCGGTTGACGCCCACGCAAGGAAGGGAGAATCTTACAGCATACAACGGACAGAGATAACGTAGACTAATCCATGTTTTTTAACTTTTCTTCAAATTGATTGTGATTCTTTCACTTCGTTATTTTTCTAGTTTAAAGGCTAATAGTTGATGCCCATTAGTTTTACTTGTCAACGAGGCAAAGATATATCTATTTTTAAAAAGAACAACACATACTTGGACTATGAAAAAATTACACTCTTTTGACAATCGTGTTGGTGTAACAAGAATAAACAGCAATTTAATTGTAAGTACTTGACTTGCAGTAGTATTTAGTTCGTATAAAAATACTGAGAATGCAGCCCGTTCCGTATAAGGCATAACGCAGCAAGATGCGTCGCAATGTAGCAACCGGTGTATACGTCCAGTGTAGTATGGGAGATTCTAACAGATGATTATATTTATCCACTTTCCTTTGTGCGCCTGTATTTTTTTAAGTTTAAATTATAATTCAATTTTTTTTTATGTGAAAAGTACAAACTGGCGTACTTTGACAACCATTAATTCGATCATCATAAACTCACAAAAACAAACAAATGAATTCGTTAAGCTTGTATTGTAGTTATTAAATCAACAGAAATGATGTAACATTCAGGCAGAAAGCCTTATTTCAATTTCGATTACTTTCTTTATATAATGATTTGAGTTTTAAAATGATCTTCAGCTAGGGTAGACTATATAATGATTGGCCCTTGAAGCACAATTCTTCTTTTATTTATCTGTAGTATTTCATTATTAATTTTATATTGATTAAGGTTCCACAATGCTACTAAATAGGGGTTAATTAACAATATGTTTTACTTTAAAATGCTCAATATTAATAGGTATTAAAACATTTCAAAATAAACAGAAAAAGCTTCAAATGTATAGTGATTGGCAGAGCAAAGAATGGCACGTCAAAACTTTGATGTTTTGTAGAATTTTAGGTGAATCTCTGTTAACATACAATTTTTGTCTAGGCAGAAAGTAGTTATATTTGACTAATTATGTCGATAAAATGAAACATTAAGTAAGAAAAAAAAACATGTTTAAGAACAATTATCCCCTAATCGCTACCTTTTTGTAGCATATGTGCGAAACGGCAACAAACGGCAAATCTTCTAGTTATAATTTTTATTTTTTAAGCATGTAACTGCTTCATGTTTAAATCTAAAGAAAATATAACTAGAAAAAAATCCACCCGGACCAGGCAGCAGACGGGACTCGAACCAGCACCTTTCGCTATCCGGGCGAATGCACTGACCAATTATGCTACCTAAAGATTTTTGTTTTAAATGTGTAATAAATTTTCCAATATTTTATTTATAAATTTCTTTAATTGTAATATAAATGCAGGCATAGTACAGGTTCCCCTACGTCATCTCAGTTGTTCGTATGCCGTAAGTTGGGGCAGCATGCGTGGGCGACTTACTAGTTATAGTAGTAGCGGTATCGGTATCGTAGTAGCGGCCGCCGCCACCTAGCGAGCTAGTTACAGCGGCAGCAGCGCCACCACGTGCAGTTGACTTACGAATTCGAAGTTGCCTTCCTCGACCAGGGCGCGAACTAGAGTGCCGCCGTCTTCTGTGCTGTAACAATTTATATATATATATCAAAACCAATTGCTGTTCGTTAGTCTCGGTAAAACTCGAGAACAGCTGAGCGGATTTATCTTATCTTGGTCTTGAAATGTTCGTAGAGGTCTAGGGAAGGTTTAAAAGGTGAGAAAATATGGAAAAATATCGAATAAGATAGTAAAAACGTCAATTTAATTTTCCCATATAAACTGTTCTATCCTCTTTCCTGTCAAACATTTGACGTTCGTCCCTTTTGGTACGGTAGACTCGGGTCCGTCATTTCTTCCAAATTATTTTAACCCGTACGAAGTACGCGGGGTCAACTAGTTGACAATATCTATTCATCATCATCATTAGCCTATTAATGTCCCCACTGCTGGAACACAGGCCTTCCCTAAGGATGGAATTTGGAGATTGGGCCATGACCTAGCCACGCGAGCCCAGTGCGGATTGGTAGCTACTAACAACTGCAGATGCAGCCTTCCGCAGCACGAAGGAGCTCGAGATAGTAAATTTTTAGTCACCCATCCAATGACCGACCACTGCGAAAGTTGCTTTACTTCAACAATCGCAGCTAAACGGGCTAACCACTTGCGCCCTCGAGCTCCTCCTTGAGAATATTATTATGGACTTTTTCTTGTAAAAACGCGTCCTAGCGACCTCCATGGTTGGAGAGGTACGTTCACCGTTTTGAAAGATGTTCCCTAACTCTACGATCCCGGTTGGTGCAAATGTTGGTGTGATGAAAACGAACATAACAGAGCGGCCAACGAAAGAATGCGATCCTGAAAGGTGATGTCAGTTCCTTAAGTTAACATAATAAAGTACAATTTCGTTCTAGTAAAAGAAGAGGACCAAAAAAATTCGCTAATTCTATCACCATAACGAACTGACCTGTCATGATATCATTCTTTCCTTGTTCGTTGGCCACACTATAGTACTTGAGTTTATCTCAAATTAAATTATAGGGATATACTTATCAATATATCGCTATTTCAATTTCTATCTGTTACCTTAGAATCCTGTACCACAAACATTACCGTGCTTACTTAGGGATTTGGCTGGTCAAGGCCGTCGTCACTCCATCCAAAAGAAACTATTGATGTTAATTGCCCTCTATGAGTACGGCTGTAATATTGGTTTTACTGGAATATTTATAACTCGTTTATTAAAGAAAAGAATCGAAAATTCATTCTGGATTCCCTTCTTTTCATTCATTCTCAGGACATTCTGTTTCTCTAGCACATTTCTTAGTATAGCATGTGCGGAACTGAATGTCTAGTCCTCATTAACAATAGGCTATTTGACCGTATGAAAAATAAAGTACCAATTGTTGGCATCGTATTTCATATGAATATTAGTAGTGATTTTACTATATTGAGAGAACCAATAATGACTTTTCTAAATCATAAATAAGAAATATATTTTTTCTGTGATTGGCGAAGACCATAATGACGTCACACGCTAGTAAACTTCCGGTCAAAGTGACATTACCTTGTATCCATTGACGTTTTAATGTCATTTGTGGGACGTCACATCCTAGTGAGATGCACTAATGTCCAAAGAAACGTTTTCGCGGCAACTTGAAAATTAAATTTATGTTATAGTTCTTTTTACTGTATTACAAAATACAGAATGATGAATATCTTTTTATGGACTCCATAAACATTTGTATTAAACGTGAGATCGTTTTCTAGAACTTGTCAAATACTCCATTCCTTTCTTTAACGACACGAGTTATTACACCTACTTATTCTTAGTGGAGTGTTTTAAACCCCGCACTGATTGAACACTACTACGTGTCCCCGGATTGGGAGTCACCGCACGTCATATCCAATTGTCCCACTAGCCCTTCGCGTTGATGATATGGTGTATCCCCTACCGGGCAATCATAGAAGGCCCGCTGGGGGGCTAAGGGCGGACTCGAGCTCGCCGTCTCCTAGCTCCCTCTCTCCTGTGTCGGAGGGAGGCCGCGCGGGCTTGTTCCTCGCGGACCCTCTCCGCGGCCCCTCTTTGTGAGATAAAGTCCTCGCAGAAAGAGGCCACCGCCTTCCAGGATCTGTCGTGCCCAGCGTGGCAAATACCATGCTGGACAGGAAGAGATCTTGTTCAGCCACAGCCGGTACCAGAGTGCGGCGCTGCTGCGACTATGCCGGACACTCCTCAAGAGTGTGCTGTGCTGTATCTAGCATAGCATTGGAATGCTCACCTGTCTAGTAACGGGGCGGGCGGGGGGTGTTCGGGCGCGCCGTTAGCAGGCGCGAGGCCGAGGTGATTCACCTCCTTCTTTTCGAAGTGTTCCAGAAACAACGGCCGGTACTTCGGACGATTCGTGTCCATAGGGTCGGTGTCATGCCCTGCTTGAAAGAATCACATTTAAGTATTGTTGTAAGGTAGAAAGTCTTAAAAAAAACAAATCAATAACTCATGGAAAACATCAATAATCACTTTTAAATTATGTGAATAACGAAATAGGCGTCCAATACTTGCTGATAATCTACCTGGTAGAAGAAGGAAAAAAGGAAGTCATCAATTCATCTTCCATATTGGCTAGTGTCATGTGTGAGGCTCGTGTGTACGTCACAATATACGCACGCTTCATAGTGCCGAGGTGGCGAGATCATCCGCCAGCTCTGTGGAGCCGGTCCGTCGAGCTACCAGTGTGCCGTCCGACCAATGCTTCATAATCTGCCCGTGTAGCCCTCGCTCTGACAACTGTCCATATGTACACACACGTCACAATAAACGCACGTTTCATGGTGTCGAGGTCGACGTCTGGCTCGTTGATGACCATGATGTGTGAGGCTAGTGTGTATGTCCACAATATAAGCACGCTTCATAGTGGCGAGGTCGACGTCCAGCTCGTTGATGACCATGGTGCCGAGATCATCCGCCAGCTCTGTGGAACCGGTCCGTCGAGCTACAAGTGTGCCGTCAGACCGATGCTTCATAATCAGCCCGTGTAGCCATCGCTCTGACAACTGTCCATATGTACACAAACGTCACAATATACGCACGTTTCATGATGGCAAGGTCGACGTCCGGCTCGTTGATAACCATGGTGCCGAGATCATCCGCCAGCTCTGTGGAGCCGGTCCGTCTAGCCACCAGGGTGCCATCAGACCGATGCTTCATAATCTTCCCGTGTAGCCCTCGCTCTGACAACTGTCCATATGTACACACACACGTCACAATATACGCACGTTTCATGGTGGCGAGGTCGACGTCCGGCTCGTTGATAACCATAGTGCCGAGATCATCCGCCAGCTCTGTGGAGCCGGTCCGTCGAGCTACCAGTGTGCCGTCCGACCGCTGCTTCATAGTCTCCTCATCGTAGCCCTCGCCCTAACAAACACAAAATAACAATAAAGTATAGGTAGCGACAAACATCTTGAGCTAAACCACAAACACATAAATTTACAGTACATGTTTTTTATATAAATTCCTACTGCTGCTCCGTTATCCACTGCGTAGGCAGTCTCCATTTTCGGTGCGAAATAACAGCTATTTGTTTTATTAAGGAATTCTAGTGTCAAATAAAGACTTGGTTTTTATTTACTTAGCTTGGTTATTTGCTAAGCAATGTCTTTTACTTGTTTATGATCACGGTTAATATTTACATTAAACTTGTCTAAAGAACATTGACCAACTTACTACAAAACGCGGACTAAAGTTAGTCTTAATTTAAACCTTATGTTGTCTTTGACTTATTTATAGCAAACACAACCAGGCCATGTTTAACTTCAATCTACAATTTGCAGTAAGGCCGACAAAGTTTAAATTATTGGTCAAAGTTATTCCTTAGTGTCGATACTCACAGCTCCGAATGTTTTAGCATTATTGGACTGTGTTGCATTCCGGAAGGCTTGCGACTCTCGGATCTCGCGAGCCTCCGCTATCATCGTGCTCAGTATGGTCGGATGCTTTGCGTTACCTGTGCCCAATTATAATAAAAAATTAATAACTGAAAATAAAGCCCTCAGTAAAATAGCTCTACGGAATAGAATAGAATATTGAGATAAATGGAAAAAAGAAATTCGATGGCGCAAGTGATTAGCGCGTTCGGCTGCGATCGTTGAAGTTAAGCAACTTTCGCAGTAGTCGGTCATTGGATGGGTAACCAAAAATTTACTATCTCGAGCTCCTCCGTGCTACGGCAGGCACGTTAATCAGTTGGTCCCGGCTGCATCTACAGTTATATCTGCACTGGGCCCGTGTGGAAACTCATGGACCAATCTTCCTATTCTATCCATAGCCTGTGCCCCATCAGTGGGGGCATTAATAGGCTGGTGATGATGGAAAATATTATAAAGCGTCACCTATGAACTCGTGATTTAACAGGAACTCTGCTGTAGCTCGCTCCTCCGGGTTCTTTATAAGGCACTGGCTGACGAAGTCTATGAACTCTGAAGACCATTGGTCCGGTTCTCTGCAAGATAATATACCAAAATTATATAATCTCTTTATTATTGAATCAAAAGTAACTAACATCACAAATCTAAAATTAATTATAAGCAAAAAATATTTGAGTGTTTTATATGCATATCAGGGGAAAAAACAGTGCGACACAACTTTATATAGTTGTGTGATAGTTGTTGGGAAGTTAGCAGATAGTGCAAGTACAGCAAACATACCTGAATTTCGTTTACTGCACCGCAACTGGCGCTAACTTCATAGTCGCCATTAAGTTTACATTATAATCATCTTTCAAATCAAAAGACTATACAAAATATATTTTATTACAAAAACAAAAATATAATGCTATGGAGATGGAATGTTTTATTACGTTTAGCTGCTTTAAAATAAAGATTAAAATTATAACGAGCAAACGTCTTGAAGTTAGACATAGGTCGGTACAAACTTTTTGACTAAAACCGACAGTAAAGTTGCGCGGTCTAAGTTTTTGTATGTCAAATTGCTACAGCCCAGGCTTCCTTGTCTATGGTTGCATACTAACCTGAATAAAGATGGCAGTTTATTCAGTATCATGAAGAAAGCTCGTATTGGATGTATGTCTCCGTATGGAGGTTTGCCTTCTGTCATTTCTAACGCCGTGATGCCCAACGACCATATGCCTGCCACGCAGTCGTAGTAAAACACAAAATTCTCTCAAGGAAACGTCTTGAAGTTAGTTACCTGAATGAAGGAGGTGGTTTAGTCGGTATCATGAAGATAGCTCTCATTGGATGTATGTCTCCGTATGGAGGTTTGCCCTCTGCCATTTCTAACGCCGTGATGCCCAACAACCATATGCCTGCCACGCAGTCGTAGTAAAACAAAAAAATCTCTCAAGGAAACGTCTTGAAGTTAGTTACCTGAATGAAGGAGGTGGTTTAGTCGGTATCATGAAGATAGCTCTCATTGGATGTATGTCTCCGTATGGAGGTTTGCCCTCTGCCATTTCTAACGCCGTGATGCCCAACGACCAAATGTCTGCCACGCAGTCGTAGCCGATCTCCTGGATCACCTCGGGAGCCATCCAGAATGGGGTTCCGATCACTGTGTTTCGTTTAGCCATAGTGTCCTGACAACAAGGTATTTATTAAGAAAGTTACTTACTAGACTGGTAATACAACTTTTTAGTGCAGATTTTATGTCTTTATTAAAATAAAAACTAATACCAAACTTGGTATGGGTGAAAAGTTGACAACAAAGAAATACCCGATCTGCCCTCGCCGTTAGAGCGTCATGCCCGAAGGGTGAGGATAAATTGGAAAGTTCAGTAACCTTAGCACGAACCAATATCGAACCTTTTGGTGGTGTTGTTTTTCTGTCGGTGAGTAAGTTTCCAGGGCTCCACGGGGTAGGGGATTGGGTCGGGGTAGGCAACGGCGCCAGTGATATTTTTGATATCGCAAGCGTCTTTATGGTATGGTGCCACTTACCTTCATGTTTGTTTACCACCCATTTAACGAGCCTTACACAGCAGTCGCGTATGATGTGTAACATTTGAAACTTCACCTTATATTAGTAAAAAAAGAAATAAAACCTACTACAAAAGGAATAAGTCATTTGAACATTAAGTTCATAAATCAAATCAAATAGCGCGCGCTTTCGCGACTTCCTGTTACACACTTCCGTCCCATTGCACGAAATCACTCGCACAAATTTCAGGAAAGCGAGAGGAAAGAGAGTATACATCAAAAAACTTGTTACGTCCATTGTGGCGCTGTCCAAGTTTCCATACAAAACTATTGCGTATCGAGATCGAATTGAACAGTTTCAATCAAAGGGAGGGTGATCAAAAATTTGTATTCTCGAGTTCCTCCATGCTTCGAAAAGTACGTTAAGCGGTTGGCCCCAGTCTGCAGTCGTTAGCAGCCAACAATTCAAACTGGACCCGCGTGGTGGGTGAAAGCCCATTTTCCCTAGTGCAATCAAAGGGGAGGCCTGTGCCAGCAGTGGAGACATTAATAGCCTGATGATAATGATAAGAACTGCAAAACATACTGCCCGTTTGCTTCGAATTGGCCGTCGATGACCGTTACAAAATTTGTCACAGGCCAATCACAGTCACATCAACTGGCACTGTCGACCAATAGGGACGACTAATTGAGTCTGTCTAGGGGCGCGGTGCGCTAAAGCGAGGATGGGAAAGGCACTAAACTTCCACCTAAGAGACAATAGCTAATCAAACGACGCGACATCAAACAATCGACCGAATCAGCGCTCACCCCCAAAAGCAACAAAGCAATCAGAACCAAGTTTTGGACAAGTTATAAGCATTTGCTAACACATAACTGTGGCGCGCCTGCCCCGCCCATAAGGCCCTTCTAACCTCTTTTTGTGTTCTGTGCAGAGGCCAACTCGAAGCGAGCGCATAGTATAAACTATAGTACGACAAGGATCTTTATGAAATGGCGAAAATTGCAACTAACGCCGCCGTCTTTGTAATCGTCATAAATTTTACGTTATTCACGGTCATTTATGTAGACAGTGGTGCCGTCCCTGAAACGTCACTCACATACATAAAGATTCTTGTCGCACTATATATTAAAATGTACTCACCGTTAGTTGTCCAGCGACACCAAAGTCTGCTAGCTTGGCGTGCCCCTCCGTATTGAGCAGAATATTTCCCGCCTTAATATCTCTATGGATCTTTCTCCTTCTGTGCAGGTATTCCAGCCCTTTAAGAGTATCGCATAATATAGTAGCGATCTCGTCCTCAGACAGTGTCTTCTTTCGTAACCTCATAATGTCCGATACCGATCCGGCGCCACAGTATTCCATTACAATCTGTTGGTATAAAATTAAGGAGCTTAAGTAGTACACATGAACTGGCAGTGATAATGCTTGTTAAGGGATTAGTGTTTAGTACAGTGGCGGAATGAAAAGGTTGATGATTTATTATTACGATTCAATCAATGAAGAATGTTAACGATTACAAAAAAAAATAGATCATGTACTTAACCTAAACATTTTAGAAGATGAAAGAGTGTAGATTAGCTGGAAAACGTTCAAAATATTAGTGTTTAAAATCTGTTATCAAAACCGGTTGATGTAACGCGAATACGACTTGCCTTTCGTCTCATAGTAAGTAAAGTATGATATTACAACAAATATAAAAGCGATTAAATATCTATCAATACATAATTGAAACCTATCTGTTCCGATTAAAGTATTGGTATAATGTAATAATGATGGTCAACAAATTAGCATTATCTTACTCTTTAGTTCGACTTTTATATGTGTAGGTAGGTGGAGTCAGATGCAAAGATATAACTAGAGCAACAGATTTACATCTTGCCAGTCTGTAAGATCTTCAAACCTCTTGTTTCCTCACAATTATGAAAACGAGTTTTTTTATCATTAAAAAAATGAATTGATCCCCAGAGGTTACAACTTTTAGGTTACTAATTATATTTTAGATGATCATTTTAATATTTCCACAATAAAAATACCTGTAAGTTTTCTTCATAAACATAATTATACTATATAGATACATCGCGATGGACCAACCTTTTCATTCCTCTACTGTACATGAAGCAATTCCTTACCCAGGCGATAGTCTGCTCCAAGTGTCATCTGTTAAACCCCCAACTCACCCAGAGGTCTGTGTTCTTGAAGTAGCTGCCGTAGTACTTGACCACGTACGGGCTGTCGCACTGCTGCATAATGGAGATCTCCTTGATGATCTCCTGCAGGTCCGTGTCCACGGGCACCTGTTTGATGGCGAGCACCTGCCCGCTCTCCTTGTGCAACGCCTGGTCACAGAGTTATGTCTAATATTAATAGCTATACGGAGAAGATCGACTTCTAAACATAATAAAATAGTACGACGTCTTGGTTGCGTTCTGTTTCTGATATATGTATAAATATATGATTAAACAAAAAAGTTCCATAGAATCCCTAACTCTAATTTCACAAAATAGCCTATTGTATGACCGACCAATCAGGGACAGCCTTCGGATATTTAACAATTAAACGCATGATATATGGTTAGGGATGCAAAGTCTTTTGAAATATCGATATTTATATCGAAGTCAGGAAAATATCGATATCCGATATGTCGACCATTTTAACTCGATATTATCGATATTTTTTATTTTTTATTGACATTGGAATACGGGGTGAGTGTGACACATTCATATGTTTGTTGGCGAGTTTCTCGCAAAATGCATTGAGCCAGCTTTTTCGTTTAACACGCTTGATGAAATCGCACCAAGCAGGGTTTTTTTTATTGGCTCGCACTTGCGAAATGCCTTCGCTAAGTTTTCACTACATTCGTGCTTTTCCAAGCTATGTCGGTTTTTTAGCGCACATGAAATACGCAAATTGCTTAGTCTCCCACACATCAGGGGCGTGCCCATGGCTGCAGAATAGGCTAAGCCCAAAGCTTCCAAAATTACTATACCTATCTTACTTTTTTGACTTGGCGAGCTTAAAAAATTTACGATTTGTATAAGATTCTTAATTTTATTTTGTGTTATATTACAATGATATTAAATTTCAATTAATCAGTAGTTGAAAATTATCTAGAAAGAGAGACAAGGATTTTATTTAAGTGCATGAGTTACCATTAGGTATACGATTATACCTATATATCTTGGTGTCGATTATCTGAACTTAAAACTAAATTTAACATCAGTCTCTCCAATTCATTCTGTATAAAGAATGACAAGGATACACTATTGTCAAATTTAATTTTAGGTTTAGATAATCAAGCCAGAATCCACATCAGTTTAGTATATTTCTTGGGGTTCAAGATTTTTTAATACATCTATAAGCTCTTGCGATTTCAAAGCAATAGTTATTTCGATATTATTCAATTTAGATAGTCATCATCATCATCATCATCGACCCATGCTCGTCCACTGCTGGACATAGGTCTCTCCTAATGCACGCCACTGCTCCCGATTTTCTGCCACTCTCATCCAGCCCACTCCAGCCAGCCTACGAATGTCATCATCCCATCTTGTCTCAGGGCGTCCCACACTACGTTTACCGAGTCGCAGTCTCCACTCAAGAACTTTACGGCTCCATCGGCCGTCAGTTCTGCGGCTAATGTGACCAGCCCACTGCCACTTCAGTTTGCTAATTCGGTGGGCTATGTCGGTGACTCTGGTTCTCTGTCGGATTACATCATTTCTGATGCGGTCCTTCAGGGATACTCCGAGCATAGCCCTTTCCATAGCTCTCTGAGCGACTTTAAACTGGTGGACCAGTCCAGCCGTGAGTGTCCACGTCTCGGCGCCGTATGTCATAACTGGGAGGACGCACTGGTCGAAGACTTTCGACTTAAGACATTGAGGGATGGGTGACGAGAAGACTTGACGAAGCTTATGAAATGCTGCCCAGCCCAACTGAATTTCTTCTATTGGCTTCTCTCTCAAAGTTGTTTCTGCCTAATCGGAGCGTTTGTCCTAGGTAGACATATTCCTAAACAACTTCGAGAGGTACTCCATTAACAGCAACCAGTCCCGGATCAACGAGCTCGTTGAACATGACCTTGGTTTTATCCAAGTTCATCCGGAGACCGATGCGTTTGGAAGATTCAGCCAGGCTACTCACCATCTCCTGTAGGTCTTGCAGGGTTTCAGGCAGGATGACGATATCGTCCGCGAATCGAAGATGTGAGATGTATTCGCCATTAATATTTATTCCCCGTCTTTTCCAGTTGAGCGTTCCGAACACGTCCTGCAGCGCAGCGGAGAAGAGTTTCGGGGATATTACATCTCCTTGTCTCACACCACGGCGCAGCAGGACAGGCTCGGTCTGGCCATTCTGGAGCACGACGGACATATTAGCGGCGTTATACAGACATCTCAGCACCTCGATATATCGCCAATCAACTTGGCACCTCTGCAACGCCTCAAGAACAGACCAGGTCTCGACGGAGTCAAAAGCTTTCTCATAGTCCACAAACGCCATGCACAGGGGCTGGTTATACTCTTTGGTCTTCTGTATAACCTGTCTGACTGTGTGAATGTGGTCTATGGTGCCATAACCCCGTCGGAACCCGGCCTGTTCTGCAGGTTGAGCTTCGTCAAGTCTTCGTGCAAGGCGATTCGAGATGACTCTCGAGAACAACTTATAGACATGGCTCAGGAGTGAAATTGGTCGATAGTTCTTCAGTAAGGTTTTATCGCCTTTCTTGAAGAACAATACGACCAAGCTCCGGTGCCACGCCCTAGGAGTTCTCCCGGAGAAAAGGACCGAGTTAAATATACGCCGGAGCTCTTTCAGCACCGGCTTGCCGGCAGCTTTCAGAAGCTCGGTTGTGACTCCGTCTTCCCCCGGGGCTTTTCCATTTTTGAGTTGCCCAAGAGCCGCCTCGATCTCCTCGAGACTGATGTCGGGGAGATCCTCCGTCACATGGCGGGTTAATGTGGCTCTTGAATCGCTCCTATCCGGCGTAGGTTGGGGCGAGTGTGACGCGTATAACTGGCTATAGTAGGTATAAACTTCCGAAAGAATTTCCGGTTTCGACGTGACGACTTCTCCATTTGTTTTGGTCAACTTCGTCAGGTGGCTCCTTCCAAGCTGTTGTACGAAGACTTTGGACCCCCGGTTCTGCTCAATTGTTCTCTGTATTAAGAGTGTATTGGAGCGTCGGAGGTCACGTCTTATCAGCTTGGAGATGGACTTATTCAGAGCCCGTTGTTCTGACGAAGTGACTAGTGGATCGTTTCGCCGCTTGTCCATTAGATCCAGAGTCTCCTTCGAAAGCTTAGACCGCTTGCCCGTACGTCGCAGCTCACAGAATTTCGCACCCTCGTCCCGAAGGATTTCTACCACTTGGTCGAGTTCCTCGTCGATGTCAACGTCAATTGTGGTTTCCAAGGCAGCGAATCGATTTTCCAGTTTCATTTGGAATGCGTCAGAACCAACGGCCGATTGGGGCAGATTTGGCCGGAGCGTTGACTTCATCAATCGAGAGCGTTCTAGGTTAAAATCGATATTCAGAGTGGCTCTTAGAAGTCGGTGATCACTTCCGGTTTTAAACCTATTGATCACTGAGACATCTCTGAATATGCGCTTCTTGTCCGATATGATGAAGTCAATCTCATTCTTGGTCATAGTATCCGGGCTTCGCCACGTCCATTTTCTCTGGGGCTGTTTCTTAAAGAACGAATTCATTAAGAAAAGCCCCTCGCGTTCCAAGAAATTGACGAGCATTTGCCCCCTATGATTCCTACTCCCATAGCCGTATGATCCTAACATCGATTCGCTGCAAGTCTGTACTCCCACTTTAGCGTTGAAGTTCCCCATGACAACGTTAAAGTGAGCCTTGGTGGTGGTGTGTAAAGCTCGAGAGATGTCCTCGTACATCTCTTCCACTACATCATCCGAGTATGTCGACGTTGAAGCGTACACTTGTATTACCTTTAGGCTATACCTTCTGGTTAATTTTATAATGAGGTACGCAACCCTCGCCGACACACTGGAGACTTCAATCACGTTGTCAGTGAGGACTTTGTTGACCAGGAACCCGACGCCGCGCTGTGACGGATTATCTCCCTCTCTGAAGTACATCAGATGGCCAGACTCTAAGGTCAGCGTGTCCTCGCCCTCTCTGCGGACTTCGCTCAGCCCGAGCACGTGCCATCTTATGTGCCTCAGCTCCTCCTCCAGTTGAGCTAGATGTGAGTCGAGCCGTAGCGTGCGACCGTTATATGTCGCCAAGTTAAGTGTTTTTTGGCGGCCTACCGTAGCCCGGAGATTCTTAGCACCCCTGTCCTGCCGTAACCGAGACCGCCGCCTTGGCCTGGAATAGCAGGGCTACCGGGAACTGGGGGCCGGGACAATTTTGCGTTTTCCATTTAGGAGGGATTGGACCATAACCCACCACGCTGGTCCAGTGCGGGTTGGTGGGTGGTTTCGCCAGGGCCTCGTCTGTTATACAGCAGGACGCACCGCTTGCAGGGGAGGTTGGCTTGGGACCCGAAAGATGTTGTGTAGGCCCCCTTGCGTCCCTTATTTATTTAGATAGTCATAGCAGGTAAATTAATTGATATTATAGTGTTCAAATTTAGTCTACGAAATATCGATATTTTGGAATTTCCGATATCGATTTTATCGATATCAGTGAATTTTAAATATCGATATAAATATCGATATTTTGGTCTCGATATTATCGATATTCCGATATATCGTTGCAACCCTATACATGGTGATTTAATAGTTTTACTGAGATAGATTATCGATAATCTACCGAAAAATAATGTGTTAAATTGTAAGCAGTGTGTTATGGTTCACAATCTATCGACAGTTTATAATCTCGCGAGATAGATTATAATCTAACGGTTATTACTAATTTACAGTGGCATATGTATCAGGTTCCAGAGATCGTCTGGGTAGGGATTTGTGTTCAGGCCTGTAAGGTAAGGGTGGCATACATGTATTTAATTTTCTTTCTTCGCGACAAAACTTAACAAGACTTAATTTCGTACCCGACTTAAATTAAGTTTATTCATTAGCCTGTTAGTCCATTCGCAATCGCACATTAAAACTAGGAAACTCTGCTATGACGTCCTTTTTACGCCTGCCTGGTCGATAGTCTGATTGAGAAACTATTACTGCTTTTGCTTCCAACAAGTGTAAAATATAATTACAAGATATTGCACGGGTCAAAATTTATTCTTATTAAATTTTTTAAACATAAATTTGTAACATTTAACCGTTGCGTCTAAGTAGTTGAGTTTGTAGTACATAGTTGACTTAAATCAACTATGTACTACAAACTCAAGTCATTATTTATCAGCATACTACTTAGAGCAAGGCAGCTCCAAAACGTACCAACTACTCTATTAATCGTTTCTTTTAGTTTCCTTGTGAATAGTAGTGACCAGATATTGATCACAATACCAGCAGTACTATCATTAACAATGGCAGGCAATAAAATTTGCATTAGCTCGTAATGAAGGCAATCCACGCATCAATGCTTTGTGGCCCTGCAGTAATGTTATTAAATCATAGAAAAAATTCGTTGCTGCCACGCCGGCCGGCCACGCCGTTTCATAACAAAGCGAAAGGGTCCCAGCTCATACATCACGCAAAGGGTGTGAGGGTGAGCCAACCTTATTACATTATCGATAACATTCCATTTTTGACGGATTTCTGTTACGAAACCTACCTACCAGACGTAGGTCTGGTTGTAATCCAATATCATGACACACATCTCTTTAATGCTAAGCTTAATTGTTTAATCTCATCCTATGTCAAATGTGAATAATTCCAGTAGCAAATAATTAACTAACTCTACTGAGAATAGGGTATTTGACAAGTTTTAGAAAACGATATCACGCTATTTTCTAATATTTGTGGAGTCCGTAACAAGTGAATATTTTTAATACTGTTGTGTTATTCGGTAAAAGAACTGAATTAAAAATTTTAATTATAAAGTTGCCGCGAAAACGTTTTTCTGCACATTATGGCGTCTCACTAGTGTGTGATGTCACACGGCTGTCATTAAAACATCAAACGATACAGGGTGTATTCCGAATCAAACACCTGTACGCTGGCAATGACTTCATGATTTCGACGCCATATTGACAACATTACTACTACACCAGTGCAATATGGCGTCGAAATCATGACGTCATTACCACTGGCCAGCGTATTGGTTTATATTTCGGAATACACTCACAATCTAATGTTACTTTAGATGGAAGTTTACTAGCGTGTGACGTCATTTTAGTCTTGGCCAATCCCAGGCATTTTCGGTCACGTGACCATGAAGCAAAAAAATCATTTCTATGTAATGATTTTATAGAAAAGTTATTATATATTTGTTCTTACAAAATAGTAAAATAGCTGCTAATATTCATATTAAATACATATGCCAACAATTGGTACATTATTTTTCATACTGTCAAATAGCCTATTCCTACCCCTAGATAGATAGATCACAATAACTGAAACATAAAGCTGCAGCCACCCTGGCCTTAACCACCATGAACCACGGTATAATATTATGTGTAACCTGGCGTGCCTGAACCCCAATTCCTTTACCTACCCCGTTGAGCTCTGGAAACTCAACTAAAATATCGAAATAAAAATGACCTACATTTATTAATGTATTTCTTATGTAGAAGCCGTAAAGACTGAAATAGCACCCTGTAACCCTACAATATTACGCCACGCCGACAAGTAAACAAAACAAACCACCCGCTGAGAGCAAAGAGAACCCTCCCTGGCTTTAACGTTTTATGAGAGGATCGAGACTACATAAAGTCTAATTGGCTAGACTGTTTTTTTAATTCAAGTGTAATTTACTTTCTAAAACGTGCCACAGGTCAGTCTATAATTAAACCTCCATCGTAGGTTTACTATGAGTCTATGGACTATGACTGATTAATTTTTAACATTTCATTTTGGATCAGTCAGATCTAAGACAATACCACTGTCGTGTGTTAATACTAGATCATTAACTAGTTGGTTCTGCGAATTTCATAAAAACGTCCTTATATGTTCACTTTATTTCATAGAGATATTGATATTTAAAGTTTTCTTACCATAGCCTAGTCATTCCGATACTTAACAATCTTTTCTATAGAATGACGCTTATTACTGAATAATTTTGCAACTTTTACCTTATACACACTGCCATAAGATCCTTCGCCCAATTTACAGATGATGTCGAACACCTCTTCTGGCTGGCGAGTAAGACTCTCCTCCGAGAGCTTCTTTAGTTCGCTGAAACGATAAAAAGTGAACACATTTTATATATTTAAGTTTTTGAAAAGCAGCAGACCACGCAGGCATCCCTGCGGGACACCAGATAGAATGTTTGACCAATAGAAATAACTTTCAGATGAATAAAAATCTTTAAGGGGCATTTTGGGTAACGTTTAATGTGGCGAATGTGTCATTATTTGCTTCATTGCTTACGACCTTATACTTGCTTATTTAACAAGCAATTTAACTAAGTATAATCTCACATCTACATTTAACAGATTGCACTTGGGAACAACAAAATAATCATGACAACATCACATCAAACATGGGATATATATGACTCAAACCCATCTCTCTATATCATTATCATATTGGGATATTTATTTAAGAAATAAGAAGCAAGTATGTTAATTGAATGCAACGTTAAGAGTCCATACAAAACTCCCTTGTTAAACAATATCGATTGCTCAACTTTATAATTTCGTGGCTGGTGATTATTTATGAACTCGTAAACGGAGACAACCGGCCAGCTGCAACGCTTTTATCAATTCAACACACGTCGACAACAGAAGTTCAATAAACACAACAGTTTTTAATGTCAGCGACCCTTTATCACGGACAAGTCTTTCTGGCTATCGGAAAGTGTTCAACTTATTCTACTTGATAAAAACATTCATCCTTAAATGTTTCAGAAACTTTTCTTGCAATCATTTCGGTTTCTTCAAATAGTTATATTTACTTCAAAGACATCTTCATCAATGAATCACAGTTACTGAGTTATTATCATTTAATTTTTAACAGTTTTTTTACATGCTTAAAAAGGAAATAAAAATACAGATGGGAGCCCATTTTGTGTTTGATAGAGTTGTTTAATAGACTTGCACGTCGTTCGTTCAGACACAAAATATGACCACTTTATTTATAAGCAGAACATATATCTATGAATCTAAAAATGCCAATGGCTCACACTCATCTTTAGCCTAGCGGAATTTAAGCTTAACCGTCAGTGGGATCAAGCCATCGAGGGTTTATATTGCAGTCAACAAGACATTATGGTTTTTCTGTTTTATACGGATAATACCAAAAAATGTGGCTTTGTTAAGTGTGGTTATTGTGTGGCTGTGATGGAAGTGATGTTTATACGAAGTAAAGTTTAAAAATCTTAAGTGTTTCATAATAAATCGAATCATACTTAAGCGTATTACGTATGATTCTAAAGTTATATTGGTTTCCTACATGTACTTGAATTAAATACAATTAACAGGAAGGAGTTGTCTCACTCACATTGACGAATGGACAACAGGGTTATCCCAAAAACTTCCCTACAGTAAACTTCCCAGAAAACTTACTGGGTCATTAATTCGCCGCCCGTACAGCATAGGCCAAGAGAAAATTAACAAACTAAATCGGATTAGAACAAATACTACCAGTTTTGGATTCACAGTTCAAAACTTTGTGGTGACCTTTAATTACAGGATTTTGGATGCTTCGTCCATATAAACCAAACCCAGTCGCGTACAGCCACTCAATTTCTCATTCGTTTTGAAGAAAGCCTTTTCAATTCTTTCCTAAATAAGACTCCACAGCTATATACACGTATAAGTTGTTATGTTTTGCATCTGACTGGTTATTTCGACGAATCTAAGTCATATTGGTTACTCAATGTTTACTAGAGCGCAAGTTATCTGGAATTTCACACCGCTATCAGACAAATCGATGTTGATGCCAATATTTCCTGATATATCGATTACTTTAGGTAAATGGTATTATTATATTTTAAGTTATACAATCAACGTATTCCAAGTACTTTGCCAATGAGAAATTTAAACAAAGTTAATCCGAAGCCTAAAAAGGTTTTAATACCCACGAACATGTTACTAGTAAACGTCTAAAAAAACTGAGTATTCTTCAGCTTAAGAAGCAAGTCTATACATACGAAATAATGTTATGAAGCATGTTTTATTGATAAAATCTCCGAAAAACTTTGAGGTTCTATAGAAGCAAGTTATATATATTTTGGTAGTCTCCGATCGAGGCAAAGACTAACAAGAAAATGAGCTATAAATAGGTAATACAAAATCTCAGTCTCATAGACTAACGTTAATTATTAATTAAATTTATGGCTTTCTATCTAATAGAGCTCAAATTTACACCCATACTCTGCAATCCAAAAACCATTTTACAAGATAACAAGCCGGAAAACGACAACAATGCTAGTCCGGAATATGATAAGTCCCTATCAGCAACGCATATTGCATGTGATCGTGATCATTTATTTTAGTTTTAAGAACCATTTAAATATTTTCCTAACAAAAATAACAGTCGGTAACGTAGTAGGTTCTCACCTTTTAAATTTACAAAGGATTGATGCTTACGCTTTAAGCATCGATCAATAACGAGTTTTTGATGTGTTTTCGACTTTTCAATAACAGATCAAACGATAGAATTTCTAATAATTGACATTATTCTAGGAATGCAATATCAGTATGAAAGCTATTTTAACGGGAGAACTTTAAAATTAAACCGGCTTAATGCTTCCAGCAGATTCATGAAACCTAAAATTTGTGGGTACGAAACATGAACGGCCGTGTCTTTTTAAAAAACTAAAAAAAAAAGGATGTTGTCAGTTTCACCTGTATGTTGTATGTCGTATGTTTTGTGTGTCGGCAATTTTTCGGTATATATTTGCGTATTTATGTTATAGTTAACTTATAGGTAAGTTTGATTTTTTCACAGCTTCATGGAACCGTAGACCTGAATGTATTGTTTAAATTTGAAGAGGACAGCTAAACGGGTTCCTGAGACAAAGGGTCTTGATAGACAGATAGACGGACACCAAAGTGATCCTACAAGGTTCCATTTTTTCTTCTTGAGTAAAACGGACGGAATCATAAAAAAGTGTGTATAAGATTAAACATTATAACGTCTTACATTTTAAAAACCTTATTTTAATAAATAACATTTTGTTATTTATTTTAAGTTCCTTCGAGTGGCAGTCCTCAAGAAAACTGACACGAAAATCAATTTTGTAAAATGTAGGTCCTGGCCTATATTCTTTGATAATGACAGAGATTTGACAAAATGATTATAAAAAGATCTGGTTGACTGAAAAGTGAATCTCTTTTAATTTGGCTAATTAAACGAATCGCTGGCATCCAACGAAAACAGGATGACGCACCACACACACGATTTAATATAACATACATAGAATACGATGACACGTGCTGAAGCATAATGTTAGATAGACCAAACTCACGAGTAGTTCATTTCTTTTCACTTTAGTTCCTCTAATAATAATTACTTTAAATAATATTTCAAATTGCTTTGCCATGACACATTATGTAACAAATCACAACTTAATAGTAACAACTTGGGCTCGTTCTATTAATACCTACCTACATTCAAATATCATTTGCTGGCCATATGTATCTCGTTATTAGTACATTGTAAAGCAAAAGTTTATGGTCCGAACTCGTGAGTCGTTTGGGAAATATAAACTATTTTCGCCTTTTGTTCCATTGTCAACACCATTAACAATAAAGGGGAAGTAATTTATATTTTTGAAATATTTGTTATGAGGAAATGGAAATGAAAAACATTTAAATCTGTAACAGGAATGTTGGAGGCCTATCACCCTGTTAGGCCAAGGTTAATTCATATTTAAATTACCACACTAATATTATAAAGGCGAAAGTTTGTGAGTGTGTATGTTTGTTACTTCTTCACGTCTAAACGGCTGGAGTGATTTTAATAAAATTTGGTATGGAGTTAGCTGACACCCTGGATTAACACATAGGCTACGTTTTAATGCAGGAAAATATCCCTAATAAACTGTGGATTACACCGCGGGGCACAGCTAGTTGGTTATAAAGTAAAAAAACGGTCCCAGCACATACCATTGGGGACGCTCGTTGGCAGTCATCCTTTCTGCCCGACGCTTTTTACAGGTATTACAATCGAGGGTGGGTGCTTCCCCCTCCCAAACTCCACTCTTCCAAAACACCAAACGCCCTTCACTATCCATGGGAATCGAACATTTTCATCACAAAGCTACATCAACGCCGAAACAAATCTTGGAGATTAAATGTGATCACTTAGTATTTTACTTCAATTCAATAGTTTGCAAAACTATTACACTTTACACGGGTAGGCACGCTTCCTAGCGCACTGAAAAACTTTTTAAAACTCTTGAGGAAACGGGCATACAATTTCACCAGCGAAACATTTACGTAACCAAGTTTCCAAAAGTCACCCAAAGGTGAGCAACAAAACTTGCGTCCCGAAATAACTTTGTATCCTTTACGGGTTATAATAACCGGTCGGTGGTGTCTGGTAGGCGCGTGCGTCCAACTCAGCGTCTTCAACAACACTGTCTTTCTTTGATCAACGTCCAATTCTCAAGTTCAGCCCAAAGCTGAATCTAGGACATAACATAGCTATATCTGTAGGTACGTGGTAGGAACAAACACCGCAGACGAACGGGAAAAATTCCTTACCGTCGCTATCAACAAAATGTCACATAATAATTAACCTCATATTATATTTTTAGAACTATGAATAGAACAGGAATCGTAATTATTACATTTGCAGCAGCATTATCCTCGCTTTATATTAAGATACATAAAAGTTTCACTTTGAAACTTCACAACTAAATCGAAAAAAACTAATACGGTATAGGGGCAAGTTTAAGAATATGGTAGGTACTAACATAAAAACAAACAGAGCATCGTTTTATTAAGTTTTTTAACATGTCGATGTAATGAACAGAGGTTACAAAGTGCACGCGGTGGGCGACTCTAGATAAATAAAACCGCGTGTTGGTCTGTCTATAAATAATACACATATTCTTTTAGTTATCATCATATTATCTTCTTATTCGGTGTGACCTTTTCATCAATAGGATAGATCACGTTTAGTTTACTTAGTCCACACCATTTTTAATGACGTGATTTGTAAAATTCTACTCCAGTTTAAAGCAAACGAATATGGAACAAGGATAAAATTACACGTAAATTTAACTTGACCGCAAAAGGTAAAGACCTCAACAAATATTCAGCCACGCATCTCAATTATTGCACTCATTGTTCCGTGTATATTAACTAGACATTTCCTGAGATGTCCACCGCATTCCTTTTGCGTTTGGCACACTCGAATTTCCGTTCATATATTTTCGCGTGAGCCATCTGGCGTACAATGAACTAAAGACACACTGTCTGCCGACATCCTCAGCGATAACTATGCATACGTGCACCAACAATGTTCCACAAATAAGCCCTGTGTTGCATTCCAAACATTTTAAAGCAAAGGGGGAGGAGATCGGAGAAAACAAAGCTGATGTCATTTTAATTATGGGCATTATAAACGCGAAATATGCGAGAAGTATCGAAGGAGTGCGGCGGAACGGGTCAGTCAAGATCGACGACCCATAAACGAACAAACGGAGCGTGATCCAGCTTTTCGATAATCCCACGCGATGACGCAACTATGTATTTGCACGTCGAAATTCAGAGGTTCGCCAAAATACATTTACAGAATCAAAATATTCTCTCTAATTTAAAAATCTCTCTAATTTATAAGTACTAAAAAAAAAACTTTTAACAACAGCCATTGATATAAAACTTAAAGAATACGATAATTACCAAATAAAGTTGATAAAATATCATTCAAATGTCATTTGGTTCGTCGGTGCCTACCCCAAATGAAATTCTAGCTTCCCACCTGTCTCCACTTGACATAGGGAAAGCAGAAAAATTAACAGAGGGGAGAATCTACACATCTATCCGTAAATTAATAATGAAAATTTGGTGGAAATAACATGAATCGATAGTAGAATCTTGATTAAACACGAATATGAATGGAAATACATATTTTAAAATAATTGTAAAACAAAAAATTGGATAACAAAACTATTCATGAACAATCTAAACTAGAATAATCCCCAAACTAGAAGAAAGCTAAGATAAACAGAAGTACATTATAATGTTTTATGGGATCCCACGCCAAAAATATTAAACTAGGATTCAGAAGTGGGTTTCTAACGAAAATAAAGAGAATAATCTGTCCGGGAAGAAAAAGATAGTCTGTACTTTGAGACTTACAAAAAACAAGAGAATCGGTCATTTTCCAAAGAAACCATGTAAGTATGCCCTCTAAATAACAATAGCCAATGGGTATGTAGGGTACGCGAACACCTTAACAGCCTAGCATCCTCTGTGACTCACGTAATGCATTCAGACCTTCTTACCCTGTTAACAATGAATGCGGCAACCATAAAACAAATCGAGTTCCTGTTGCTAAATCGATTTGAATATACTTTTAATAGCGTATACTTGATGCTAGACTAGTGCCAAACCTCCAAATAAAAATTAAATACCCCATAGCTACTTGATTTCCACTTGTGTGTATATTTATGTAAATATATAATAAATACATGATTATTATCAAACATAATATGACGCAATGATTTTTGAAAATTCAGATTGGTTAAGGACAGTGTAGCTAGAAGCTTCAATTAATTGAACACAAAGCCTTTCGTAGCCACAAAAATGTCGAACACTTTTACAATGTTCTGGGAATGTTCCCACAATAACGATGATTATAAATATTAAATTGAGTTTAACATTTTTTAACTATGCCTTGAGCGTGTTTACGCCTTATCCCAACAGTCTTTACAACCCACAATATTTTAACCCTGACTCACAATCACAAAAGGCTGCATCAAAGCGACCGTAAAACCTGGATGGAATTCATAATTACACACAGCAGAACAGGTTTTATGTAATATGGTCACCACAGGGGTAAAGTAAACAAGTGAGTACGTGTACGGATATTTTGTGCAGACGCGAGATAGAACGCGAAAATCTTCTCTTTATAATATTGATTAAAATTTTAATATCGCGTTGAAGGATATCGAAGCTACCCTCCGAGAAAAATTGCGCTTTTTGTGGGCAGTCGTGCAAAAAATACAGCCCAGGGGCAATCAAAAGAAACACGAAGAACCTCATCTTCAATCTTGATGAAGGTGATTGCTTTTATATGAAGCGCGGCTAATCACACCACCCAAATGCGATGATAAATTATACGGAAATAAATGTTCCACCGCCGCAGCAATCTTCACGTTGCAAGTTTATGGAACCTTAGTTTTCAACAGAAAAACGACACCACCGATAGGTAGTGTCATTTTTCTTCTGTACGGTGGAGGTTCCTTTCCCTGACGAGAGCTTCATTCGAGCGATAAATCCCCTATACGTCGCTTGATATACGCTTGATGAACGCAGGAATAGATGGAAGAGAGTATCTGCCAGCCAGCATTCTTCACAGCTAGTCTGCACAAATACTTAAAATAGTATGTTACCAAGCCGTTAATAAAAAAATGGTATTATAGAAGCATGCATAACACAATATGCAAGTTCTGCGGTGGTTAGCGTACGTGATCCCAGACTGGGGTCCACGTCGTTTCGTCATATTACTCTTGTCCTTTATTATATATTTTTATTTTAAGCATTTGACTGTTAGATGTTTAAATCTAAAGAAAATTTTACTACAAGAAACTCTGGTTATTTTCTGTTGTTAAGCAAGTTTCACTCACTGGGGACCTAATGGGTACTAACATAGACAAGTACTAATATGTTCCTCAGTAAATCTTAAGAATCTTCCCAAAGTGAGTTCTAAACTCCTATGAGGAATAACACTCGAGTATTAACAATACATGTTAGATTACTGCCTTTCTGTTCTGTTGAAAAATAATTAACGAGTAAACGCCTATACCGGTGTTTCCTGAATGCTTACTGTGTATATACATTTGAACTGCCTAGCCGAGGTGCCAATCTAGCCATCTACTAATTGAGAAGTGTTGCAAGTGTTAGCCTGCAACCTGAAATAGTCAAAAAACTAGTCAATCCAAACAACGAAATGAATGCAGGTGGTTAAATACCCAAAAGTGGTGGTGCTATACTACCACCTGACCTGACCGCTAATCAAATTAACAATTTAGCGAGAACTTAACTGGCATGATAGTCTTATGAGTGATCTTTCAGTTTAGGTTTATGTTGCAAGATATCGGATTTCCTAATGATCTATATTTACGAATAGGTATTGACGGATGCTCGTTTGATCAAATGAAATAAATACCGGAGTTTCTCAAGGCTGGTGACCTCTGCGTACCTAAACTCGTCCCTTCAGGCCATAACCGGTTGGGGCGATATCAATCTGGTAAAATTCCGTACTGATAATTCGTAGTCATGATCATTTATTATGTCAGTGTCAACGCATTCTAATCATGGATTTGGGAGTTAGCTACAAAGAGTTGTGTCAGGAAATCGGCTATCTCCTGTACCTTATGAGTAAGTAATCTGACTGAACACTGACCTTGGCCAAACGTGAATAATTACGGGAGCCCGTAAGATGCGCTATCAGTTGGAGGCTTTGTGGCCAATACGTTCATCACAAAGGACATCTGCTCTTATGTAAGCCTTTTTGCAGGACTTGGAAGTACTAATGTAGGCTGCTTATAGTGAATCGACTCGACCTTTAGAGAGCGAACTCTGATCCATGCACGAAATACTGCCTGTTTACGCGAAACAGTACCAGCAGTCACGATGCCCTTACTGATGAGATCAGATTGTGGAATGTAGTATTCCATTCCCATTGCAAGTAATAGCAACGGAGCAGGCCGATGTGCCTCGAAAGCTTACCTTACCTATGACGCCTTCGCAGATATCAAGCAGTGATCCGACGAGCCCAGTGGCACTCTAATCACAACCTGATAGCCCTGTGAAGGAGTTCCAGCAAAGAAGGTACTTGACTTGGAATGTCTGCGATCCTGGTGGACTGATCAACCAGTTGCGCCAAGTCTTGACATGGTGAGTTTTGGAGGAAAGTAACGTTTTGCTTGGAAAATAGCTCCTGGCATCATCTGCTATCCTATCCAACTAAGATAGTAAAACGATTGAGTTGTCTCAATGTCACCAGTATGGGATCTGTAGTCACACATAGGCTCTACCCAGGGGAACAAAGACTATGTGCACACCCCACATAGAGAAGGATATCTGAGACTGGATTGTTACTATTATTTTCAGACCAAATTGAAATTAGTCAGTAGAAACTCTTTTATCTCCAACTGTTTTGAGTCAAAAACCTCCAAAACACAAAAATAAGTTATGTTCCTTTCCCTTCAAGCCAAAAAACCTCCATTCCTGGAAATCTAAAGCCTCTAGGTCGATATTAAAAGCTGTATTTGTCCTCTATAACCTGAAAACATTAAATGGACTTCTGCATCTCCAACATAGCAAATGTTTGATTTGACAACCTTTTTGACTCTATTATTACACAACATAAAGATCGAAAAAAAATACTGTCTAAGAATTTGCTGACAATGTACATTATTGTTACATAAATAGGATGAGTTTATCACATACATACTTGTTTTATATGATGCCAGTTGTTTTATTTTAGATACTTACTATTATAGTCGATTTTAGTGTAAAAAAAATATTATTTTTGATCAAATATTACCATACGCCCCTCCTAGTTGGGTTCTACCACAATACACATAAATTTATAAAAAACTAATAACAACAGTATATGAAATAATGTTTTAATCCTTGTTGTTAGCTTTGTAAGTTAGGTATTTATTTCTCTCTCTAAACCAAAAATTTATTAGAATTCAGCAGTGGGTTTAATTCTGGCTTGATTGTCTAAAACTAAAATTTAATTTAACAACTGTGTTTCATTATCATGCTCTATACATCATTAAAATGGGAAGAGTGTAGTTCAATTTAGTATCATACCAGTATCATGCCCATTGTGAAGCTAAATAAAGAGATTTTATACTAGCTTCCATCTGTGATAATATCTGTGTCATTGTTAGTTTATTGAAAAGGCCACAGGAACCTAATATTTCCTGGGATAAAAAGTATATGCATGCCAAATATCATTCTAATCTGTTAAACCACTTTTGTGTGATTGAGTAACAAATATACAAACTCACATTTATAATGTTATTATAAGTAGGATCTATCTTCATGACCTAAGCACTATAATGTACAAATATTTTTCACTATCGAGAACGAAAGTTACGAAATAGAACAGAGAGAAACAACACTGGAAACAGCACTCATAACTACAATGTCCGTTTCCTAAAATGTGCTATACCCAAAATGTATACTTTCTCACAATATGAGTTTTCATTTCAAAATCACATTTTAAGAAACAGACATTGTAGGGTCTCCTATACAATGATTGGCCCTTCAAGCAGAATTCTTCAATTGTTTGTCTATGGTAAATTCTTTATTACTATTCTATTGAATATGGTTCCACAATGCAAATATAAATAGGGGTTAAGAATCAAAATAAAACAAATTTAAAATGCTCAATATTAATAAATAAAAATACAAAAATCAACAGAAAATGTTTCAAATGTATAGAGATTGGCATAGCAAAGAATGGCACACCATAACTTTGATATTTTGTTGAATTTTATGTGAAACTCTAATAAAATACAATTTCCATCTATGCAGTAGTTATATATTACTAATTATGTCGATAAAAGGAAACATTAAGTTAGATATGTGTTTAAGAACATATATCTACAAATGGATGCCTTTTCGTAGCATGTGCTAAGTGGCAACAATGAACATTAGTTTTTTTTTTCAAAAAATACCATTGTAGAAATAACATTATAACTGAACAATGAAGAATTGCCATCAAAGAATAATAAAAAGATTTCTTTATATTTTAGTATAAATGCTAGTCCTGAGCTACTGTGGGAAATAAGGTATGGAAAAAAAATATTCTAATTTCAAATGTGACAAGAAGGTAGAAACAAATCTTTAATCTACATTATCTACTATACTTCAATACCAATGTAGCTTTCAAAAGCATTTTTAAATTATAATTTTAAAGCTTTAATACTAAATTTCTTATGAGGAGTTGAATGCTGAAGCAGAAATAGAAGTTCTTGATAGGACGCAAGTTAACACTACAACCTCTACTGTGATCACATCAATAAAGATCAAACGACTATCAGGTACAGTTTTGAGAGTAACGTCTGTGTTTAGAGAATTTCGAATACCTATGTAGCCAAGGAATTTTTTTAGAACTTACTTCTTTGATGTCGTTTCCGTCATTTTCACTTTATCAAAAATTCTTCGGTTATGCAGAACTCTTACACCAACAAAGTCGCATTATATTAAAATTTCTTAAATTATGTGGCTTTTACACAAAACACAGTTTGCAAAAAACAATAGAAAAGAGCTATGTAATTATTATATGGAATGGAAGGTAGGTAGCTATTTTCACAACTTTTCTACCTAATGCACTGCACAGCACACACATGCATGCATCATATTTTTCTATTGTCACCAGTGTCAGACAGTGTTGCCAACCATAATTGAATCAAAATCGGTATATCAGTCTAAAAATATGAACAAATTTTTACAAAAGTAGTTATAAAAGCTTTTTAGATCATTCTCTCCTTTTTAGTTTTGTAGAATAATGCAAGAATTGACACCAGTGTCTCATTAGCTCATTTTATTTGCACAAAAGTCTAATGGCGTTGGCCCGGCACTTCACTTGCCTATTCATATTTGCTACATGTAAACTTGACAACAGTCTGTCTTTGACATGCTTTTTATGGAATGTCAAGGATATACTGATATCAAGTTTACAGATAGCAAACACCTAATAACCAAGTGAAGTGCCGGTACAAAAATCCACAAACAAATAGAAATACGAATTATTACGAATCAAAGTCATAAATGTACGTGTTTTAAAGAACTCTTCTGAAAACGTTTAGGAATTTCAGTCCTTCCTTATCTTTATCACTTAAATTACTACGGATATAGTAAGAAATAGGACTAATTGATAATAATATGTTAATTAGAGGTTTTGCTGACTTAGGAGTTGCTAAGACTACTTTTCGATCAAGGGATCCGTTTGCGAAATATTATACTTTATAATTCAAATATTTTATCAAGTAGGGCGTGTCGTCACGCCCTTTAAAAGCGAAACTATTAGCTAGAAAAATCTGGAATAATCATAATAATAGAAGTTTTCATTAACTTTTAAGGGTAACTGTAACCATTAGGATAGATTAGTTAGTTTGTCATCAGTGTCCATGGGCGACGGTGATCACTTACCATCAGGTGAGCCGTCTGCTCGTATGCCCCCTATAACATAAAAAAAAGTTTAAGAGTAATCGTTCAATTTGTGTATTAGAATATTCCGTACCTAATAAATATTCTTTAGAAGAAAACATTCAAAGTAACTTAGATGAAGTAATTGCTTGTTTATAAAGAGTAAACTTAGTCTGTTTGTAATGCTTGGAAGTAGGAAAATCCGTAAAAAAATGGATAAATATTTATGTAAATGGCAGCATTGGTCATAGATGTCACATGTATTTTTTTTGTAAATTTTCTCCTTAATGTTAAAGCAATAAATATAAAGTCCATAAGTACAGCTAAATATTACCCACAACCTACAACTCATAAATAGATGGAAATAGATAAATAGGAAAATTAGCAGCACTTACTATTTTAGTACCCCTTGTCACTGAGAGACCTTAAAAATCATTCTGAGGATAATAAGAATGACTGGAGTGACCACTCCACAGAGCACTGAGCCACTTGCTTTTCCCTAGATGGAACTAGTGCTGGCTGCTCCGTTCAGCTCATGGTGCAACTGAAGGCCATCGATGGGTAACGTGCGCCAAACAATTGATACAATTTATTTATCGGTTTGTCTTAGCTGAACATTTTATTACCGTGGAGAGGATTTCACTCAGGATTATTACTCACCTTTAGGGATTAGTACATTCTTCATCCAAGGTTCAAACTCGTGATGTTTACTCTAAGTCTGTGGATCGAATTAAAACGTCCCAATTGTTTGGAAGAGCGATCTCGTAGTCTTTGTAAAAAGTAAATTAATGCGTAAAATGGACCGTAAGCAGATTTTTTACGTTGCTATGGTAACCCTGTTTTGATAACAAAGTCATGGCCAATGGCCGCGTTCTAACCTAAATTTCTGTTGTATAAACTGTCATTCTCGTTTGTTGCAATTCCCTGTCTACGGTTGCAATGCAACCACTAAGCTATATTTTATATTGATTAAACTTTTTAACTAATTGTGTGTTAAATGTAAGGAGTACACAGTAGATAGGGGTGATATAGAAAAAATGTTCAAGAACACTTTTCAGTCCGGTTTCCTGTCAATTCTTTACAGCATAGGCAGCAAACCATTACAAATTTGGGACAAAAAGGTTCGAAATGGGCACATAAAAAGGATAACGGACAACGATATACAAAGTCTAGTGCTTGAAATTGTCGGAACTAATGTTAGCACGACGTACATTACTTGTCCTGCGGATCCGAAAAAGACGCTCGGTATTAAGTTGCCTTTTTTGGTAATGATTATTAAAAACCTGAAAAAGTACTTCACATTCGAGGTTCAGGTGAGTCATAATAGTAAAATGACAATAGAAATTTTCCCATTTCATGATCTAGTCTGACTGGATAAAAATTATAACCTCAGTCTTAAAAGAAATACTCATTTAAAATAAAGTGCCTAGCAGTTTTGTTAGTAGGTAATAAAAATATTATGAAACTAAATGCCTCATTAAACTCCTCATTGAAGCTAAGATAAGATGGCTACGAAGGCTCTACCTTGCAGCCTAACTTTATACCAAAATTAATTGGCTGGTCTTTATTTAACAGCAGTAGTCAGTAAATATTTATGGATAGCAAAGGAAAAAATTAATTTCTATCAAAGATCAATTTATCAACATGGTGCAATAAATGATTTGAACTTGAACTAGGATGTTGGTTCAATTTCAGCCTCAGCTCATCAGGATAAATTATTTTTCTTGTAATTTCTTAAAATAACAACTTCAATTTTGCTTACAGGTTCTAGATGACAAAAATGTTCGAAGGAGGTTTCGAGCTAGTAATTACCAATCAACGACTCGGGTTAAACCTTTCATATGTACAATGCCCATGCGTTTAGATGAAGGCTGGAATCAAATTCAGTTTAACCTGGCTGACTTTACTCGTCGAGCTTATGGCACAAATTATGTTGAAACTTTGAGGGTACAAATACATGCAAACTGTCGGATAAGAAGAGTTTACTTCTCTGATAGATTGTATTCAGAAGATGAGTTACCTGCAGAGTTCAAACTATTCTTGCCTATCCAGAATAAAACAAAAACTGCAGTTGCTACATAAAATAATATGTTTTGTCATTTATATAGTAAATGTAATGTTTAAGTCTATGCCACGTTTTTCATGTTCAGCATTTCTATACACCCCTACTTAATTGTATTTACTGTACTAATAAATGTGCACAAAAATGTTTTGTATTTAATATTTTACAAAACTGAATTCAGTATTTATATGCCTATTATGTATGTGGTAAAACACAATACATAGAAGATTTATTGTAGATTAAAGGGTATAGTTTGCTCTAAGAAATGAAGTAAAGGTACAAGAGTGGTTGATCTTTTTTGTACGTAGGTCTGGTTCTATCAATTGGACCAAATAATTTGCCCCTACTACATTCTGTATTAGAATACCGAATTTCGTCCAGTGCCCTTAGTACGAGTTTCACAATTACGAAAATTATGATAGTTTTCGCACTCGTACTAAGAGTACTGATTTTATTGTTTTCGTTTCAAAATTGCGCCGCTGCCGTACTGATCGGCGCGTAGGTAGATTTACACTGGTGATGCTTCGAGTCTTATAAAATAATTATTAATGAACTAATTATAAAAATATATACATATTTCAATGTTCAATCATGGTAGATTAGTTTTATATGAAAGTTTTTGATAGTACTTAATTCTATTTAATTCAATATCAAAATACGAGGTAAACCTGCATTATTTTTTGGGAAAACTCCCGGAGGTTAGATGTTTTTTTGATAATCAATGAGATGGAAAATCAAAATTATGATACATTATGTTACAACAAAAACATATTTCTGATGTCGTAGTAATTAATTTGATCTAATTTATTGAACATTATTGAGAGATTGAGGCGTTTAAAGTTGTGCATATTATCGTTTTTACCGTAAACTAGCTGCAGTAGAACGATTAGTACAAAAAAAGGAAAATATTATTTCCAAATATTCTACATTAACTTACAAAAGGGAGACTAAATCTATTGTTTACTTCTATTGGCAAGTCAAAATCTTTTCTAAGGGGGTTATCGAGGCGCTCAAAAATACGATTTTTGCAAAGAATGTGAAAGGGTTGGTTACGTTTCACCAAAATGGAATATAATTTACATTTACGAAAACTTTTTCGTGAGCTCAAACTCGTACTAAGGGTACTGTTTCCCACTAGTTCCATTATGGGACTACTGGGATTTGTTTCTCCCAGTAGTTCCATACCAGGTGACTCACCCTATTCCATAATTATATTCCTACTGACATATCTCCACCACTAGTAGGGATACTTGACTTGGAGCTTTTTTTTTATTTATCCCTACCAGTCTGGATATATGGAACTTTCTGCTAAACATATCCCTACTGATCCGCACTGGTAGGGTAAAGGTTAAAGCAAACCATCCGTAGTCCACCTAGGTGAATCAAGGGTCAGGACAAGTCTCCGATATCCACCCAGTTAATGTTCTCATTTTTGTTTCCCATATAAAAAATAATTATTCCTAAAAAGTCTAATACCAGCATACCATACGTGGCTAAAAGGTTCGTTAAAAAAATGGAAAGAAATAGTCTTTTTTAATAACTGGTCCTGAAAGTTTTTTTCACTGTTTCATAATCAGAATCTATTGTTATTATAGGTAGCTTTCCAATTACAGCATTATAGCGCATTATGCGGCATAATGCTTAACGTTGAGTGTTCCAACTACAGTAACGCTTCGCACAATTGAGCACTCTCAAAAGTAATGCTTTCTTCGTGTGATGCGTGCAATCGTACCAACCCAGTGACAGAAAATAACAAGTGTTTTTTCTTTAAGTTGGCATTGATCGAAATGTTTTAGTTATATGTTATCGTAAGTAATATTATTTATTGTTGAAAAATTATTAAAGCTTTCGTTTCATTAAATAGTTTTTTTTAAACAATTAAAGTTAATTCAAACTGTTAAAAAAATAAATATAAGTATGGATGAAGGTACAAACATTGACTTTTTTTTCAACACTGAACTTAGCGCACTCTGCTGGTGCATTTGTAAACTAATTCACGTTTCAATTAAGCATCAGCATAATTCGGCATTGTGCGGCACTGAGTCGCATTATGCTCCGTAATTGGAAAGCATACATATTAAGCTTACTTTTAAGCGATAAATATTTATTTTGCGCCACTGAGTCACATTATGCTCTGTAATTGGAAAACTACCACTGATGTCAAGTTTATAAATGACAAACACGAAAAGGGAGTTTATGGCGGGATATCATTGAGTGCGGTTGGCGTCTTATTTTATCTTAAATTTTTGTTCGTAATGGATATTATGAAATAAAATTGGTGTGCGGTGTGTGTTTGTGGAACTAACATTATTCATGTGTCTGGCAACACCAAACTTATAAGTATGTCGAAAGTTGACAAAAATATCGATACATCGATATTTTAAAAATATCAATATCGGCTTCGATATATCGCGAAAAAAACATCGATATATCGATATATCGGACCAATTTTCCCAAAAATATCGTACAGTAGCTCACGAAATATGACACGCGGAATAATAATGGAACGAAAATTATCTCCCTAAAAATAGACCCTATTTTCAAATGATGACATACACAATACTAAATACAGCACAGATCATAGATACGTTGAATATCATTAATCTGAGATCCAGTTACGATTTTTCCAGATACGAATTTAGTTAGATCGTGATATGCCGCTAATAATTAAAAAAAAAACGTTTTTGATACGAATTTCGATATTGGTTATTTTGAATCGATATATCGAATCAAAATATATCGGCAAAAAATATCGATATATCGATACATCGATATATTTTCAACAAGCCTACAAACTTATGTACATCAGCTGTCATCGAGTTTCAGTTGTGGAACAGTTTTCCTTTTGTATTTTTTATTTTTTGGATTAAACTAATAAATTAAGACGAAACTACGCAGAAAGGTATAAAAATGAGTAAAGTAAATTGGAGTGGCACGCGGGAAGTGATTTTTAAAGTTTTCCAGCGATGTTTCGAAGACTACCAAGCTGGACGAATTTTGTGGGATTTGGAAGATGTTTATGGGCGAACAGCATCTATGACGGGTATGTAATCGTTTAACTATTTGTTTGTAATCTGCCTGAAGTTACAAATTTACTCAATTTAAGATTTTGAGACCAAAAAAGGCATTATTTACATTGCACATTTTTAGCAGGTAATATTGTAGTACGACCATTTCTTTTGATACGTTATTATGGTTCATCTCGGTCAGGTTTTCTACCAATTTTGAATTAATTGCTTCATGTCAATAAGTTATTGTTTGTATTCCGTTACATATTTTTTTACTTTTTTTCAGGAAAATCGGAGAGTCGGATAGTTAACGTAGGTTTAAGAATGATGGAAAGTTTGAAACTCCCAGGAAAACAGGCAAGGCCGACCAAAGAAAGAAATGGTCACATAAAGAACCATGGCCAGATGCTTTTAGTGAAGATACCTATCACTAATTTTACAAACTGCGCATTTACAAATTGTTTATATACTATAAACTGATTTTTAGTATTATTTTCTTAATATGTGTGTTAAAAAACGTCGTATGATGATACTTGTGTGTATTGATGATTACCTAACGGCTCTGGTCTCAATGGCACCTCAGCGGTAATCACCAACATTACACACTTTTGCACTATAAAGTACTATTTTATCTATAATAATTTTATTCTGATTCAATTGAATATGCTTGGCTAAATTTTTTATAAGCATAGGTACCTACTATATATAAAACAGAAACAAAATACGATACGATAATAATACCTATTGTACTTGAATGAACTGCTAGTATTAAAATCATTTTGGTCCGACTGTATAGGGTTGCTACAATGAATACTAGTGGCACCATCATTTAATGTCACGACTTTATAGACAAACTGTACAACCGTCTAGCGCAGACGGTTGTAACACAAAATCACACTAATTTTATTGAAGAATACAATACAATTTACTGAAGAATTAGTGGAATCTTTAAAATATACGCTATTCCTTTCAAGTGGACGTGAGAACTTTATTGTTGTATCCAACTCGATATATTTCGTGCCAAACACTCATTTAGAAGCATTACAATGTGTAACACCCACATTCTAATGTATAAAAAAGGAAGATTAATACAAAAATAAGACGATGGCTGCATGGCTTGCGCTTTGCCTTTCTCAATAGAGAAGAATAGAACTAAAAAAAAACAAACACGAAAAGCTAGGTGAAGTGCCGGCATAACAAAAAAAATAGTCAAGTCTAGGGATGTAACGATACCATCTAGGTATCGATTCTTTTACTCGATACTGTATCGGTCATAAAGTATCGATGCCTGCTCGGTAGCGAATGAAAAGTATCGATACTTACTTGTATCGATAAATTTTGACGAGCTATATTACAATTACAAATTCAGTCACAGATTTAATTTAACGAAAACAAAATAATGGCTAAAGCCACGAGATGAACGAATGACTGACTGAAAAAACGGAATAAATATAAATCATACGCAAGGTTGTCAACTGAGCAGTAGGAAAGATGCGTCCGCGAAACAAAAATTCCAAATAGACACCTTACCATACAGTAAATAATCTGCCTGTGAGTTTTTTTGATACTTCTCAGTGAGTGACCGACCGAGTACCGATACAAGTATTTACTTCACGATACCACTTGTTACTCAGTTCTAAAGTATCGATGCCAAATGTACTTGGTATCGAAAGAAAAGTATCGAGTAGTTACTTGTATTTACACGCGCATCCCTAGTCAAGTCAACCAAAAAAATGGCTGTCACGACTGTCGTTACCCTCGGTATTTCATTTATAATTTTACTGTTTAAATCAAATGAAGTGAATGCAGATGATATTTTAGGATGCGGCGGATTTGTTAAAAGTCATGTAGCTTTAGATTTCTCAAAAATTGAGATTGGCTTGTAAGTTAACCTATAAATTTTGTAGTGGATTTCACAGTGTTTTTAATTAAATATGTGGCTTTTGTGGTCGAAATTCGAAACTTCAATATATCAATACTACTATGTCATTAGTAAATAAATCAACAACTTTCAGGTACACTAAAGAGGGAAGTTTGAAAGAAAAAACAGAGTGTGCTCCTACTAATGGATATTATTTTCTACCTTTGTATGAGAAGGGTGACTATATACTTAAAGTCCATCCTCCAGCAGGTTGGAGCTTTGAGCCTTCCCAAGTGAGTTTGGTCATTGATGGGACCACTGATCAGTGTTCCACAGGCCAAGATATAAACTTTGTCTTCAATGGGTTTGGTATAACGGGAAAAGTAATAACTGCTGGTCAGAAGCAGGGACCCCGTGGGATAAATGTCCAACTGGTAAATGAGAAAGGAGAAGTAAGAAACACTGTTACTGCTGCTGGTGGAGACTTCTATTTCACACCTGTTATACCGGGAAAATATACACTTAAAGCTTCACACTCCAGGTATTTAATTTCATTTCATCATGAACTCGTTAAAGTGCTTATGATGGAGTATTTTTACATGTTTGTGTGATAAGATTTTTTATATATCTATCTTGAGTATAGAAACTTTAGATTGTTCATTACAAATATTGAAATATTTATTTGATATTCAATATCATAAACAATAAAACTCTATTCAGAAGTGCATAGAGGCAGATCAGATTTTAGGTAACAGAATTACATATTACAGCTGTGTGACATTTTTGAGTTATTAACTGAAGTTATGTGGTGTTTATTTTGAAGATTTAGGGTAAGAATCCTATAGTTATATTATGTGCACTACAGGTGGAAGTTGGAGCCATCACAAGCTGTAGTGCAAGTAACTGAGGGCAATACAGCACTCCCTGTTGGAGTTCTGGCTGTCAAAGGATATGATGTTCGGGGTTCTGTCACATCGTTTGGGGCATCACTCAGTGGTCTACACATTCTTCTCTATTCCAAGGAGGTATTTACTCATTGCATATTTCTCCTTTTATTTAAAAAGGGTGCCGGCGGCACGCATTTTCTTATCAAAATCATAAGTGCCTGCCGCCTGCATCTCTCATGGTCCCAGTTCTCGTCCTCTCCCACAGCCTGTACCCTGCAGGTGAGGACTTGGTTAAGTGGTTTACCTATAGTTCCGTGGCATATCAAGTGCTATATTTGTAAGGTTATAAATATATAAAAGGGTAAGATGAAGTTGTTAAAGTTATGTACAAATGAGCCAAATCAATAAATTTTGGCTCATTATAATTTTCTTTGTGAAATAATGAGTAAGTTGACAACAGAATTTTGCTTAAAAATTGCTTTGTTTATAGAGATGATAAAAGCATTTGATTAAGTTGACAGAAATGCTTTACTTGTATAATGTTGGAATTAGGGGTATTATTTTTATCTTATTAAATCATATTTGACTAGTAGAATCCACATGACACAAATAGTTTGTCTATTTGTGTCATTGATAACTTGATGGATCGCAAAATACAAAATTTTGGCTTAAATTTAGAAATCATTTTTACAATTTATTATTATTATAATAACAAGTAATGTTCTTATTAAAAAATTTTTTTAAGGCTAGTTGTCACTTCAGTAAAGAAATAGAGAAAATCCTTAAATGACAGAAAATTAATTAGTTGAAAGTTAAAGTATTTATTAGTTGAAGTAACAGGCGTAAATATGACATTTATATGTTATTGACTCTTTTCTTAACATGCTAATATAATGGGAAAAAATATTGCTAAAATTAAAAGGAGTCAATTTTTTAAATATTGGTTTGTAACACTTAAAATAATTATTAATACACATTTCTTTGTTATTAATTTTACAGAACAATCAACAATTACGTGTTGAAGGTTGCAAAACAGCTCTTTTGCAAGGTGTCCCTGATTCTCCAATTTGCTATTCTATAACTGACAACAATGGAGAGTTTAGCTTTGGGTTGGTGCCTGCAGGGAATTACAAATTGCTGGCCCTATCATCATCACCGGGACAAGCCTCAATCAGTTACAATGTGAAGCCAGAGTCTGTTGCATTCAGTGTTCAGCATGACAGCATTTTCATTAAAAATGCTTTTGAGGTGAATAGGTTTTGTGAGATTATTATTATCATCATCAGCCTATTAATGTCCCCACTGCAGGAGCACAGGCCTTCCCTATGGTTGGAATAGGGAGATTGGGCCATGACCGGCCATACAGGGTCATTGTGGATTGGTGGGTGCCAACAACTTCAGATACAACTGGAACCAATGGCTTAGCCTGCCTTCCGAAGCACGCAGGAGCTCGAGATAGTAAAATTTTTTTGATCACCCATCTAATAAAAAGGTACAGCAACTTACCCCGCTCTACTTGATGCTAATATTAAGTAGAGTTCAGTTGAGAGATTAAAATTTACTGCTGCTTTGTATTTCTAGTAGTTTACCAATATCATATGTATTATGTCTTTCAGGTGCACGGTTTTACAGTCATAGGTACAGTTGTTAAGTCTATTGGAGGTGTAGGGTTACCCAAAGCCAGAGTGCTGTTAAACCAAAAAGCTATAGGAAATACAGATGCTAATGGCAAATTCACACTGCCTCATTTGCAGCCTGGGACTTACACAATAGCTTTTCAACATGGTGAGTGATTCTGGTAGTTCCTACTACCTCCTTTCTACCTCCACTGCATCATATTTATTATGCATAATATTTTTATAAGTGCTCTCCTCCAGACCCAAATTCAACTTGGAACAATAATATTTGCTTTTTGCACTCCTCCATATTATTATGCTCCAGTAACATTAGCAGTGCATCTATACAAACATAATATTTAAAAGTCGACTTCTTACTAACAGAACAGTGCGAGGTTGAGCCGGTGCAGCTTACAGTGTCTGCTAGTGGAGCGCGGGCTCCCGTGGCGGCGGCAGCACGGTGGCGTGTGTGTGGTGTGGTGGCGCCATTTGGGGCGCGACGCATCAACATCAAGGCGGATAGGGGTGGCCCGCCACTCACTGTCCACGTGCCGCCCGAGGGAGAGGGTAAGCTTCAAGTATCAACTAGTGGAGCGCGCCTCATCAGCATCAGGGGGAGAGGGTCGGCGCCACTCACTGTCCACGTGCTTGCCGAGGGAGAGGGTAAACTTCAAGTATCAACTAGTGGAGCGCGCCGCATCAACATCAAGGGGATAGGGGCAGCGCCACTCACTGTCCACGTGCCGCCCGAGGGAGAGGGTAAGCTTCAAGTATCAACTAGTGGAGCGCGCCTCATCAGCATCAGGGGGAGAGGGTCGGCGCCACTCACTGTCCACGTGCTTGCCGAGGGAGAGGGTCAACTTCAAGTATCAACTAGTGGAGCGCGCCGCATCAACATCAAGGGGATAGGGGCAGCGCCACTCACTGTCCACGTGCCGCCCGAGGGAGAGGGTAAGCTTCAAGTATCAACTAGTGGGGCGTGCCTCATCAACCTCACGGGGATAGGGGCGGCGCCACTCACTGTCCACGTGCCGCCCGAGGGAGAGAGTAATATGATGACTCCTTCCTGACAGAACATCAACATTAAGGGGGATAGGGGCGGCGCGCCACCCACTATCTACATGCCGCCCGAGGGAGAGGGTAAGCTTCAAGTATCAATTATTGGGGCGCGCCGCATCAACATCAAGGGGGATAGGGGCGGCGCGCCACTCACTATCCACAGGCAGCACTCCACCCACTATCTAAGCTTATAGTATCAACTATTTTTGCGCGCCGCATCAACATCAAGGGGGATAGGAGCGGCGTGCCACTTACTATCCACGTGTCGCCCGAGGGAGAGCGTAATATGATGAATCCTCACTAAAAGAACAGTGCGAGTTTGAGTCTGTGCAGCTTCAAGTGTCAGCTAGTGGATCGCAGGCTTCAGTGGCGGCGGCGGCGCGGTGACGTGTATGTGGCATGTGACCACAATGACGTGTGACATCTGGGTTGCATGAGTTATTAGGTGCAAACTTGGAACAAGAATTAAAGCATAGGAGTTTTAATTACTTACTCTCGATAAAAAGTTTTAGAAATATTTGTTTATGTGTTTACCATTTGTCGGAGACACCTCAACTTGCCTCAAGTATTAGAAAAGATGTTTGCAAGATTTGATATTTTTTTTTGTTTTAGGAAAATGGTGCACCTTCCTTCCTCCAGGAACGTATTCAGCCAATGTTGATTTAACTGAACAGGAGCAAAGAGATGGCTTACAGTAAGTATAATTGACATTTTACAGTTAATTTAAATTGTTTTTTATGTGGATAAGGAAGTAATTAATTTTTGGAATACGAAATATTGAACAAGTTCCTGCTAAATGAAACATTCTTAAACGGGTTGACAATGCGTATTTTTATTACTTTTTTTCACGTTTCACATCCTTTCCAGTCTGCGTCGTCAGTAGTTCCTGTTGTCGATATGTATCATAAGTTTTGTATATTATTTGAAAACTGTGGTACGCTATTTATGTAACAATATAGCCTCTAGACGACATTAGACCCACTACCCCATAGAGCTTTAACAACTTTATATAGGTGACTTCTATCAAATGTTCTTTACATTAATGATTTGATTCTTGACTTGATCTATCCTTGGCTGCTTTAACAGTAACTGTGACATTTTGCTATGCAATAAATGAATGATGTAATTAATGCTTTTTTTAACTAATTCCCAAAATTTGGAGCTATGGAAGTCCAAAGTAAGATCTCAATTTACAGAATCACCTTAGAGCAAGCGCTCTTAGAGCCACTAGTGGCTCAGTCAAGAAACTGGACGCAGCCAAATACACCCGGCTTGTGACGTCCACTAGAACGCTTAGTTTGCGCCGAAAATAGTCAAACTGTATAAAAACTCGGCCGCAGCTTTGTGCGTTTAGTGGCCGCCTCTAGTGGCTCAATGTGCACTTGGTAATATTATTTAATTTCAGATTCTACCCACTATCGCACAAGATCTCAGTAGGCAACGGGCCAGTAGAAGGCATATCTTTCTCTCAACTGAAGGGCACGGTTAGCGGCCGAGTGCGATGCATACGGGACACAGATTGCGTCGCGTTGCCGATCCGTTTGCGTGCCTTGTCACAAGATGGCGCTTATGTCGGCCGTCCTAGGGATACTACAGCCAAGGGTATGTATTACCATTAACATGTAAACACAAGATCTCAGTGGGTAACGGCCCAGTTGAAGCCATATCGTTCTCTCAACTAAAGGGCACGGTTAGCGGACAAGTGCGATGCAGACAGGAGACAAATTACGTCGCGTTGCTGATCTGTTTGCGTGCCTTATCACCAGATGGTGTTACGTCGGCCGCCCTAGGGATACTACAGTCATGGGAATGTATTACAATTAACATGTTAACACAAGATTTCAGTTTTTAACGGCCAGGTTGAAGCCATATCGTTCTCTCTACTGAAGGGCACGCTTAGCGGCAGAGTGCAATGCAGCAGAAGACAGAGTGCGTCGCGATGCCGATCCGTTTGCGTGTTCTGTCGCTAGATGATTATTGAGCTTAACGTGCTTTCCTAAGCACGAATGAGCTTGAGATAATGAATTTTTTTGGTGATCCATTCTATGACCGGTCATTGCAAAAGTTTCTCAACTTCAGTATAACTGCGTATACTATTATTGTCCAAATATTTTCCTCAGACGGTGAATACAAGTTCGCCGAGATAGCGGCCGGAAGTGCAGAAGTATCAGTGGGTGGGGCGAGGCTGTGTTGGCGCGAGAGATCGCACAACGTCCCCGTCGCAGGGGACGTGGTACAAGCGCCGGACTTCGTTCACACCGGCTACTTGCTGAGACTGAGGGCTTCGCACGCCATACAGGTTAGTTGATTATAGACATTTTAAGGCAGGTAAGAGGATAGTTTTTGTCCCGGAGAAATTTAATGTGTCATTTTCAAAACATTATACAGAATGAACAGGTCCACTCCAAGGATAAATTTTCTGATATTTTCACCTCCATCAAGGCTTTAATAAATCTCAATAAGCTTATGTCGCGGGCAAAGTGTAGTGTGAAATAAAGTCACAAGAAGGTCAGCAAGCAACCGCCTGCTACAAATAAACACATTTCTCGCTCTCTCTTCAGGTGGAATACAATGGACCTGAAGTTATAACGGGCACCCTCTCCTTGCCAGAGGGCGCGAGCGAGCAATGCGTACCCAGAGTGGGCACTTATACGTTGACGCCCAAGTCTTGTCTTCTGCTTCAACGAAATATATAATTCTATCTCTCCTCAGGTACAATACAGCGGGCCTGAAGGTATAACTGGCACCCTCTTCGTGCCAGAGGGCGCGAGCGAGCAATGCGTACCCAAAGTGGGCACTTATACGTTGACGCCCAAGTTTTCTGCTTCAACGAAATACATTATTCTCTCTCCCCTCAGGTGGAATACAGCGGGCCTGAAGGTATAACTGGCACCCTCTCCGTGCCAGAGGGCGCGAGCTAGCAATGCGTACCCAAAGTGGGCACTTATACGTTGACGCCCAAGTTTTCTGCTTCAACGAAATACATTATTCCCTCTCTCCTCAGGTGGAATACAGCGGGCCTGAAGGTATAACTGGCACCCTCTTCGTGCCAGAGGGCGCGAGCCAGCAATGCGTACCCAAAGTGGGCACTTATACGTTGACGCCCAAGTTTTCTGCTTCAACGAAATACATTATTCTCTCTCCCCTCAGGTGGAATACAGCGGGCCTGAAGGTATAACTGGCACCCTCTCCGTGCCAGAGGGCGCGAGCTAGCAATGCGTACCCAAAGTGGGCACTTATACGTTGACGCCCAAATTTTCTGCTTCAACGAAATACATTATTCTCTCTCTCCTCAGGTGGAATACAGCGGGCCTGAAGGTATAACTGGCACCCTCTCCGTGCCAGAGGGCGCGAGTGAGCAATGCGTACCCAAAGCGGGCACTTATACGTTGACGCCAAAGTCTTGCCACAAGTTCTCGCCGCCCAGCGCTCAAGCAAACACATTAGAATCAGAATCTGAGACGCCAACGGTGAGATATTTTGACTAAAAGTTTGATAATATTGTCCGTCCGTATGTCACAGCCACTTTTTTCCGAAACTATAGAAACTATACTGTTGAAACTTGGTAAGTAGATGTATTCTGAGAACCACATTAAGATTTTCACACACAAATAGAAAAACACAATAAATTTTGGGGGGTCCCCAACTTTAATTATTGTTAAAATTTATTAATTTTGTTTAAATTTATTGTTACTTAGAACTGAAACTGAAAAAATTTTTTCATCGAATCTTTACGTATGTGGTATCTATGGATAGCTCTTTAAAAATGATATTGAGGTTACAAATATTTTTTTTTCTAAACTGCATAGTTTGCGCGATAGACACTTCCCTGTAACTTCTAAAATAAGAGAATAGATAAAACTAAAAAAAAAATGGTATACATTACCATGCAAACTTCCACCGAAAATTGGTTTGAACGAGATCTAGTAAGTAGTTTTTTTCATACGTCATAAATCGTAAACCGCAATTTTCCTTTCATTCAATCAACTCGAATATAAAAATAAAAACATTTAATTTCATAAACATAAACCGTGAACCATTATTATCTAATAATAAATCTGTGAACTACAAGAACTTTTATATTGTTACTTGGTGCTACGGAACCCTTCATGGGCGAGTCCGACTCGCACTTGGCCGCTTTTTTAGCAAATTAAAATCAAGTTTCTGTCCCAATCTCCAGGCTGTTAATAGGCCAATAAATAAACTTACGGTTTTTTTACTTCAGTTTTAGGTGTATTCTGGATTTATTAACATTGACAAATAGATAGTTAATGACCTAATATTTTTCTACAGACGGTATACTTTATGGCCGTGGCTCATGAAGTGACGGTGCGTGTGTTATCACCCATTGCGGCCACAGACCTCAAGTTCATCATCGATTCCGAAGGGCACAGCGCTACGCCCGTCGGCCCGCTCAAACCCAAACCTCATCCTGACGGCGGATACGTCTACGAGCACACCATGTATATGGCTGACGTGAGTGGATTTTATTGATTTGTAAATTATAATATTTTGTACAGTAAGCTCGAAGTTTGGATTATTGATTGTATACAACATATCTTGAAAGCTGTTTTTGCTATTGAATAGATTTAATCTTCCCATTATGAATAAAACTTGTTAATTTTCTATATTTCCGTCAAAGGAAATTTATTTTTGTTACTTTTTTTGGTTCGATATGACATGATTACTCTAAATTTGTGAATTATAAAATTACACTTCCAAAAAAACGAGCGAGCCTTACAGTAGTCGCGTATGATGTGTAACATTTGAAACCTCATCTTATATTAGTAAAAAAGAAATAAAACCTACTACAAAAGGAATAAGCCATTTGAACATTATGTTCTAAAATCAAATCAAATAGCGCGCGCTTTCGCAACTTCCTGTTACACACTTCCGTCCCATTTTACGAAATTACTCCCACAAATTGCAGGAAAGCGAGAGGAAAGGTGTTACACATCAAAAAGGAAATTTATAATGTTCCGATTTTCATGTTTCAAAATTCCGACGCAACAGGAAAGATACCCTGTAACAATCTATATATAAGGTGACTGACTGACGTAGTGATCTATCAACGCACAGCCCAAACCACTGGACGGATCGGGCTGAAATTTGGCATGCAGGTAGATGTTATTACGTAGGCATCCGCTAAGAAAGGATTTTGATCAATTCTACCCCCAAGGGGATAAAATAGGAAATAAAAGTTTCTATGAAACTTTGTCAATTTTAAACCGATCGAGCTGAGACTTTGCATGCAGGTATAAGAAGGATCATAGATGATTGTCATTGTGTATAATACAAGCCTGAGAACAAAAACTGTAGTCTACACTTCAGCTCTATACCGAAGCGAAGCGAGGGCGGGCCGCTAGTGTATTATATGATGCGTTGGTGTTTGTCAGGGCGAGGTGGCGCTAGTCTCGTGCAGTTCGTCCACGCTACTATTGGAGCCACAGCAGCCGCAACAAGTGTGGGGGCGCGGCTCGTGCCAGGCGAGCGCGCTCACTCTCCGCGCGCGCCCCGCGCTCACGCTCGCCGGCGAGCTCGCGCCGCCAGTAGCGGGCGCGCTGCTCACACTCACCGCAGGTAATGTAAGGGGGGCGCTAGTGTCGTACAGCAGATGTGGGGCCGCGGCTCCTGCCAGGCGAGCGCGCTCACTCTCCGCGCGCGCCCCGCTCTCACGCTCGCCGGCGAGCTCGCGCCGCCAGTAGCGGGCGCGCTGCTCACACTCACCGCAGGTAATGTGAGGGGGGCGCTAGTGTCGTACAGTAGGTGTGGGGACACGGCTCGTGCCAGGCGAGCGCGCTCACTCTCCGCGCGCGCCCCGCTCTCACGCTCGCCGGCGAGCTCGCGCCGCCAGTAGCGGGCGCGCTGCTCACACTCACCGCAGGTAATGTGAGGGGGCGCTAGTGTCGTACAACAGGTGTGGGGTCGCGGCTCCTGCCAGGCGAGCGCGCTCACTCTCCGCGCGCGCCCCGCTCTCACGCTCGCCGGCGAGCTCGCGCCGCCAGTAGCGGGCGCGCTGCTCACACTCACCGCAGGTAATGTGAGGGGGGCGCTAGTGTCGTACAGTAGGTGTGGGGACACGGCTCGTGCCAGGCGAGCGCGCTCACTCTCCGCGCGCGCCCCGCTCTCACGCTCGCCGGCGAGCTCGCGCCGCCAGTAGCGGGCGCGCTGCTCACACTCACCGCAGGTAATGTGAGGGGGGCGCTAGTGTCGTACAGTAGGTGTGGGGACACGGCTCGTGCCAGGCGAGCGCGCTCACTCTCCGCGCGCGCCCCGCTCTCACGCTCGCCGGCGAGCTCGCGCCGCCAGTAGCGGGCGCGCTGCTCACACTCACCGCAGGTAATGTGAGGGGGCGCTAGTGTCGTACAACAGGTGTGGGGTCGCGGCTCGTGCCAGGCGAGCGCGCTCACTCTCCGCGCGCGCCCCGCTCTCACGCTCGCCGGCGAGCTCGCGCCGCCAGTAGCGGGCGCGCTGCTCACACTCACCGCAGGTAATGTGAGGGGGGCGCTAGTGTCGTACAGTAGGTGTGGGGACACGGCTCGTGCCAGGCGAGCGCGCTCACTCTCCGCGCGCGCCCCGCTCTCACGCTCGCCGGCGAGCTCGCGCCGCCAGTAGCGGGCGCGCTGCTCACACTCACCGCAGGTAATGTGAGGGGGGCGCTAGTGTCGTACAGTAGGTGTGGGGACACGGCTCGTGCCAGGCGAGCACGCTCACTGGACTATGCAGATACATACCTCAAGGAAGGTTTTCAATTTCTTGGTGTGGACCACAATCGCATTTTACGATCACAATACGATAAGTGTTAGAGATACCTCTCACCCGCTTTGAGTATTAATATGGACTCATTTACGATTAAAGCTGCACAACTTTGGAACAAGCTTCCGCCTGAGATTCGTCACGCAAAGTCAATTGTTTAAAAATATTCTCCTTGATTTTCTCCTACTTAGATCCTCGTTTGCTGGATCGATAAATATATGATAATGCATAATATGTATGTGTATATATTTGTTATTTATTTGTTTATAATCTTTATATCTTCAAGAAAATATGTATATTTCTTTGTTTTATCTTGCTGGCATACTGCAACTTCCTCTTCGTTTAGCTATCCTTTACCGCAAAGGTTGTCTGGAAGAGATCGCTTAAAGCGATAAAACCGCCTTTGCCCACATTATGCTATTGCTTACTTTTTCTTTTCTTTTATGTGTGTGCAATTAAGAATTTATCTATCTATCTCACTCTCCACGTGCGCCCTGCTTAAACAGGCTATTTACGCTCTAATGATAATCACCGAGAGATGCCAGCGAGGATGGCTCTCAGAATAACCGGGCCTGCGCTCATAAGCGCGAACACCCCATACCCAGATGCTATTTACATTTACCAAGACGTGAATTTCTAGTTCAGTTTATTGTTTAGAAACGACATGATATTATTTATCGTTTTTCAGAACAGTAATGGAGACGCATGTTATGTTGTTTTCTTTTTAAATAATTTTAGTGGCATTTTGAGTGACTATTTTCGTCATGCGTTTTTGTGGCGTACCAATCCTAACTTAGAAGATCGGGGTCAAGAGAAGATAATCGACATGTCTACCGCAACAATGCCCGTGGGCCAACTCGCATTATGCTACTGCACCACAATTCTCGAGTTATATTACCTTCTATGTAACTTAAGTGTCATACTTTTGTCGCAGACGGAATAAAACAAACCTACACGACGACCGAAGACGGCAAGTACAGCTTCGGCCCGTTGGACGCTACCAAGAAGTACACGGTGACGGCGGAACTTGAGTCATACGTGTTCAGCGAACCAGACGACAAAGGTGTCATTACCGCCCGGAAATTGGCCGAGATCACGGTGCAATTGTTGGATCGAGCAGATAAAACGCCGTTGCAGGTTAGAGAAGGATTTTTTATAAACCGTCATACATTACGACGGCAAATACAGATTGAGACTGCCATACAAATAGGGATTGGCGGTAGAAGGATGAAAATTTTGGGTTGTACGTATTTTTAATGCCACATTAAAAAAAAAATTTAGGGGTGGACAACCCTTATCACTTACAAGTTTGAACAATAGATAGTAGCCGATTTTCAGATCTACTGAATATGCACATAAAATTTCATAAAAATGAAAGGTCAAGCCGTTTTGGAGCAGTATGGTAATTAAAATTATTATTATACACGCAATCGTTTCGCAAAACTCAACGTTGTCTCCAACAGATCACAGACAGACGAGGCGTCGTGACCTGTTGTACAGGTTCTCTTCTGAAACCTATTTCACCCGCTAGTTCCTCACAATTTGCGGTGTATGCTATTGACAATTGTGATTTATATATATTTGTGTAAATTGTGATGGGTGATTAGAAATAATTAACGGATCATCATTATAAAACTCTATGTAATACAGGGTGGATTGGTATCCGTAAGCGGTGGTTCATACCGTCGTACTGCCGTAACTGACGCCGCTGGCAGACTCCGTTTCACTGCTTTAGCCCCGGACCGCTACTACGTGAAGCCTAATATGAAGGAGTACCGCTTCCATCCCCCGCACACCATCGTGCCCCTGCCCGACGGTGAAGCCCGCCACTTGGACCTCACGTATGTTGATTGATATTGTTCATACAATAAAACAGTAGACTCCGCCCTAGCTCCAGGCAGCTACTATGTGAAGCCCAACATGAAGGAGTACCGCTACCATCCCTCCCTCCGATTCCGTCGGCCTAGGCACGTCTTAGAGTACCCAGACGACGAAATCACCCGCGCCAACGCACTTACGATTCCTCCCACACAGGCGACAAACACCGGTAGTAGCTAGTTGAGCCGATCCCCTCACCGCACTGGCGGCGAGGTTGCATCCTCATTTTTCTGTGTCAAAAAAGGGCTCTGTAATTGGATAGGATAACAAAAAACCGACCAAGTGCGAGTCGGACTCGCGCACAAACGGGTCCGGACCATTATCTATACAATATCAGACACTATATTATAATACTAGCAAAAAAACGACAAAAAAACACGTCTGTGTCTGTGTTTGTTGTTATAGCGGCAACAGAAATACATCGTCTGAGAAAATTTCAACTGAGAACATTTATGAGATACAACCTGATGACGGACAGGCAGACCGACAGACAGACAGGCGGACAGCGGAGTCTTAGGTCCCGTTTTTACCCTTTGCGTACACAAATGACTCTGTTGTTGGGCGGGATAACCTTTATCTTGATAAAATAAATATGTTTTATATGTGCTTTCCAGGGGTGAACGCGTAGCTTGGTCTTGTTTCGGCCGAGTGGTGTCGTTGGGTGGAGTAGGATGGGCGGGCGCAGCAGTAGCAGCGGTCCCTAAACCCGGCTCCCCGGCCACTTGCATATCGGAAGAGGCTACAGCGGAACCCAACGGCGCTTTCAGGTATATATTCAAAAAGAGGTGAGCTTGGTATTGTTTCGGACGGGAGGTGTATTTAAACACTCCTTAGACTATAATCGGCAACGATATTAAATACCCTAGATACACCACGTTCGCTCAAAATGTGTCCCTATCAAGAACTGTTTAAACATGACTCAAGCACGCAGCAGTTCACAATCACGCGCGGACCGTTAAAAAGTTAACATGCCGCTGAGCTCCGTGAAAAAATGTGAGATAAATATTTATAGTATGTAAAATGTCGTTTTTCGATAGGTTAATTTAACGCATTTGAAGCAAATTTTGTTGTAATACTCACTATAAACTGATTTAATAGAAAATATATGTGATTCGATAAATTATTGCCGTCTCTTTTCCTCGCGGCCGTACCTGCTATATTGCTAACAGCGCATTCAGTATTACGCGTAGAGTCAAAGAAATAAGGTAGAGTCAAAGGAATATTCTTTCGCATATAGCAATAAGTCGTAAAATTTTACGAGCTTACATTTCGGCCTGCCATAACTCTTTGACGCATGAGTTTTAATCAGGACCTTATGCCGTGTGCTTTAAAGGTGATTTTCAATGTTTATATAATGCCTTATATTGTTTAGATTACGCGATCATCTTACGGAGCTCCGTGGATCGTACAATGTACCTTTTGGACAGATTTCGGGCATGATTTTGTTCGTGTTGGTGTATCTAGCTAGGGTATTTAATATCGTTGATAATCAGCCCTAAATCGTGAGTTCGCCCGAACTAGTTTTCGAGTTAGGGATAAAATATAATAATAGTAATTATGGTTTGCCTACACATAAGGCGATCTAAGGTACTCCCCAACCCTTTTCCGATATAACCGAGTGGAGTAGCGGTCACTAAACCCGGCTACTTCCTTACCGGAAGAGGCTACTGCGGAACTTTTTGTTTACATGTCGACTTTTAAACCAGCACTTTTTAATATTGGTTCGTCATCATCAATCATATCAATCTATTAACATTCTCATTTCTGAGGAATGTGCCAATTTTAAGGACATTTTGTGGGCCTTTATAGATTCTATTGTAATCAAATATACTATGCATATACTCTTATGTTTCTTCGTAGGATACGAGGTTTGCTACCTGACTGCGTTTACGCGATCCAACTAAAAGAGTCCAATGTGCCGGAATTGATGGGATTGAAGCTCGCTAAAGCACCACCTGCATTAGAGGTTAGTTTGGCACCAACTAAAATTAGATTTTTCCTTATAACAAAATTTCGCTATATTTGACCTAATTTTTCTAAACAATCCATCTTTTTCAGGTGAAAAATAACAAAGACATTGAAAACGTGATCCTTATAGCGGTCCAACCTCGTCAACTAACTGACGGCAGCGTACTAATACACGCGGCGCCTTCACACTACAAACTTTTGCGTTTAACTCTAGCCACAGAGAAAGCGCCGCACACCCATCTCTTCGCGGCCAAACTGGACCCCCCCGGAGGACAAGATAACCCGGGCGTCATGCTTGTATTGCCGAGACTGGCGGCGGATAACGCCACTTATGTGCTGCAGTTGGAGTCGACGTTGTCTAAAGCGACGCATTCTTACGACGACACCGTTATATACTTCGAGTCTGATGGCAATTACAAGAGCTTCGATATCGAGTTTAATCCCAAGGTCAGTATAGTATTTAAAAGTGTAGTATTAACCCATCTTTTCGCGGCTAAACTGGACCTTCCTGTGGCCCAAGAAAACCCGGGCGTCATGCCTGTATTGCCGAAACTGGCGACGGATAACGCCACTTATGTGCTGTAGTTGGAGTCGACATTGTCTAAGGCTACGCATACTTACGACGACACCGTTATATATTTTGGTTCTGATGGATTTAATAACAAGAGTTTCTGATATTGAGTTCAGTTCCAAGGTTCCAGCATAGTATCTAGAAGTTTGGTTATTAGATGAGTGCTTGGAATGGCAAGTTTTCTCCTCTCCGCAAGTGAACGCTCTAACATAACAAGTAAGAATATGATCCCTATAAAAAGAGGTAGTCCTGAAATATGGTAACGACGTTTAGGAAGTAAAATCGATTGAGTAAACTATGTAGTGTACAAATTTTTCAGTTTCTGGAAATAGCAAAAGGAGAAATTGATTTTTTATCAGAGCTAATGATTTTATATTCAAGTTCATAACTTTAAGCACTTTTTTCTAGTTCACGCTAACAATACATTTCCCGTACTCACAGGTGAAATCCTCAGAGCAGGAGCTTCGCCAGACCTCGTTCCTAGTCATACCGTTCCTAGGTCTGCTCGCGCTGGCGTACCTGCAGCGCGATTGGTTGTTGGCTCGCGTGACGTCATTCGCCACGGGGCTCGGGACGGGCGGCGGGGCGGCGGGCAGGAGTGGGGGGCAGGGGAGGGGAGGTGGAGTCGCCCGCCCCGACGTGCTGGACGCAGCCAGTATAGACCACATCGTGAGTGCCGTCAACGCGGCCGGCAAGCGAGTTAGCAAGAAGAAGGCCCAGTAGACTGAACGTTGACCGAATAATAAAACTAATAAATAAACAGTGCCGTGAAAACTAGAATAGGGTATTTGACAAGTTTTAGAAAACGATCTCACGTTATTGACTAATGTTTATGGAGTCCGTAAAAAGTGGATATTCATCATTCTGTTGTGTATTTCAGTAAAAATAACCAAATAAAAAACTCCATTTTCAAGTGGCCGCGAAAACGTTTCTCTGGACAATATGGCGTCTAAGTAGTGTGTGATGTCACACGACTGTTATTAAAACGACAAACGATACAATGTAATGTCACTGTAATTTACTTGTGTGTGACGTCATTTTAGGCTCCGCCAATCCCAAGCGTTTTGGGTCACGTGACAATAGATAAGAAAACTGATATTTTTTTGTAAAAATACTAAAATCCCCTGCCAATATTCTTTCTAAACACAGATGCTAACAATTGGCACTTTATTTTTAATACTGTCAAATACCTTATTATGTCGCTCACTTTTTTTAAATATCAAGGCAACGATATTGAAAACTTAGATACACCACGAGCGCGCAAAATGTGTCCCCATCAAGAAGTGCTTGAACGTCACTCGAGCATTTCTTGGTACACAGTCACGCGTGGACCGTTGAAAAGCCAACATACCTTAGAGCTCCGTTAAAAAATGCGGTAAAATATACTTATAGTATTTAGAGTGTCTTTTCAATGTTGATTAATTTAACGCACTTGAAGTATATTTTGTTTTAATACTGACTGTAAACTGAATTAATAGAAAATATTTGTAATAATAAAAAGCATGGTCGGTTATATAGTCGTCTCTTTCCCTCGCGCTCCGTGCCTGCTATATTGCTAACATCGTTTTCAGAATTTATGATATAAAATCATAGCAACAAAGTCTAAATTCCTCCACCTATAGCGACAAGTAGCAAAATTTTACGAGCTTGCATTTGGAAATGTCTGCCAACGGCGGCAAAGATTTAACATCTACGTTTAAATTAAGACTTTATTGACGGTGCATTAAAGTTGAATTTAAATGTTTAAATATTGCTCTATTTTGTTTTTGACTACGCGATCATCCCACGGACCTCCGTGCATCGTTCAATGTACCTTTTGGACAGGTTTCGGTGACGATTTTGTTCGTGATGTTGTATCTACGGTTTTAAATGTCGTTGTTTCAAGGCTTTAACAGAGGATTTATATTTACAATGCAGCAAAAGTAACGTTATAAAATTATTGGTAAAGAAAAATGTATCTTTGCGTACACTATTAGCTATCTTCGCGCCGTTCTTTACTGACGCCTAAGAATAGGTGAAATGAAGTTATTTTCAAATCATCTATCAGACGGTTCACAGATTAGTCGCTCATAGTGAAAACTGCTCATGTTTGCTAGAACTGTGTTCATAACGTTGTTCAATAAATCTTTACTACATGAAGTTGGTTTTTGAAGAACTTTGCTGTAGTGATATAATGGATGACCATTGCGTTTACGATTATTGTACTGAGTATTTTGTAAGCAAACATGGTAGTCTAATGCCGACACTTCACTTGGCTATTCGTATTTACTACCTGTAAACTTGAAATCAGTCTGTCCTTTTCATTCCTTAAAAAGCATGATAAGGACAGGTTGTTTTCAGGTTTACAAATAGTAAATACGAATAGCCAAGTACTGTGTCGTAATAAGGACATTCTAGGGAAAAAGTTAATAGCTTAGTGTGTAACCGATGTTGTGTTTGAATTTCAATGAAATACCTATTTATTTTATTCAAATTTTATATTTTGTCGTGTGTACTTCAGGTTATCCTATATAAGATGGCAACATAATATGGGTTAAAAATTGTAAACTACCTATAATTTATTATAATTTATTATTTATTTTAGAAATATTGAAGTTTCCGTTCACCATATTTTTATTTCAAATTTGCAATCATACGAAGAAGTGTACATTCCAAAAATATTAACATCCTCATTGTAGCTCATTTAAAAAAAAGTTATGTCATTGAATGTGCAACAGTAGCAAAGTGACGTCAAATTATGAAAGATATTGGGCTCAAATATCATTATTTTAACCCCATCACATGAATACTAAGTAATCGTTATAACTTCAACTCTATTGTTAACAAACGAAGAATAAGCTTGGATTAGTTACTCCATGTTTTGTCTCTGTTCATTGAATTACAAATGGCACTTGAGTGATATGAACAAAACACGGTTTAACTAGTCTAATCTTATTCCACGTTTATTATTAAAGGGGCTAAAGTACGAGCGGTTCTTACTTATAATTAAGTATTTAATGCAAACCATGGACTAAAGTTAGACATATTAAAAAGATAAAATGGATGAAATCTAGAGATAGAGCCATCTCAGTATTCATTTTTAGATCAGAAATTCAATACATTAATATGTTTGATGAATTTTGTATGTAATCCGTGTATTTAAAATAAACATAATGAACCATCTTTATTCCTACTATAGTTATAATTTATTGATCTTGTATAATAATGCTACTTATTTTATTGTTTAAAACAGATTTATTTACATTTTAATTATTGTTTGCATTTATAATAAGAGTTTTGGCGATGTGTTTGCAATTAGATCCATAAGTGGGCAAGTGAAATAAAATGGATTGTTTGAGAAACAGTGTTTTAATAAATAATTGAATAGAACATTGTACACCTATCTTATACTAATGACATAGGAACTTATAAATAATGATATATAATATTAACAAAGTTAATTACCTAATAAAAAAAATATGATGGAAAAAAGCTGTCAACAGACAAATTTAGAAAAATAATTGGAACACATTAATGTCAGGTAGGCACTTATATTTAGTACTAAAATATTTACGAACTAAATAAAGTAGTAAAAAAGAACTAATTTAACTATTCCCTTGTTCATGATTGTCAAATAGAGACCGCTTTGGCTTGAATATTTTCATTTTTCGTTACAGTTGTAACGACGTTCACAGTCTTGACGCGAGTGCGCTCGGTGGTCCCAAAGCCTGGCGTTTTCTTTGCTGTTGATAGTAAGAATCTATTTAATGATTAACTCTATAAATTACAATAATAACCTTAGGAAATATTGGGAGAAATAATTTGATTTTAACAAGAACTGAACTACTATTTTATTTTATCTTTATACTGAGCATCGCCATCTATTAACAATGATGTATACTAATAACGACTTTAAAAGAACTATCTAGTTCCGCTTCTCTCCGCTAGTTGGTTGGTAACAATGTAGAGCATGTAGAAAATAATGTTATAAGATAAGATGTAGAGCATTCTTATAATTCTTAATTTGTTAGAATACTATGATGAATTAAAACTAAATTTAACATCAGTCTTTCCTTTTCATTCTGTATAGAGAATGACAAGGATGCACTGTTGTCAAATTTAAGTTTAGGTTTAGAGAATCATGTCAGAATCGATACCATTGTATTATTAAATGTTTTCTTATTAAAACTTACTTGACAAAATATAGTTCAAAAGCTGCAAAAAAGCTGTGTCTTGAGCGTGCGTGCAGCATACACAGTTGAAGCTTTTCACAATCGTCATAGCTGCAAAAGAAAATATAATGTTGAATGATTCATTTCGCAGAGACAGACGATAAAGACTACTTATTAAGTTTTTTTATTTCTAATATTGGATCAACGTATAGTATCATAAAACGGTCTCTATGTATCTCCAACGGAAAACGATGAAATTTTGTTTGTTAATTGAATAGCAAAGGATTTGTCTGTGCTTTTAATTTATTGATGATGATAATAATATATTACCTAATCATTGTATTTTCTTAGTCTACCAGATTTTAATTCTATGTTACTGTTAAAAATAAGGACAGTAGTCTTAAAATTACATAATAATAAGTTATTTCTTTTAAACACGGATTAGCATATTTCTCCACCTGATCTCAAGTGTGAGCTTCAGTCTGAATCCAATTCCCCTTGCTATCTTTGCAGCATAGCAGTGCTTTGTAGCAATTGAAGCCCACTTAAGATAGTCATTTAACGAACGGTAGAACTCTCCGAGAAGTTGGATTTTATGTTAGTGACAGGTTCGTGCTATCAAATTACAACAAAAGCTCAATATTATTTTTTATTAAACTATGATCAGATTAAAAACTTTTTTAATGTATTTTTTTTATCATAATTCATTAATTAGTTTAAACAAGATAGTTGCTGTTAACAGGTTATTTAAAATAAGTAGTAAATACTACGTAATTATTATTTTACCTTCTTTTCACTCTCATGTGATTGAAACCGTCAGCCTGAAGTTCACCTAAACCGAGCTTGGTATTCATAAATCTTTTCTGAATGTTGTGTGCCGGTTCACCATTGGTTGTTTGACCTAGAAATAATTAAAAAAGTGTAAAATAAGTATAAGAATGTAGCTATTTCACACTGAGTTTTTCTTGCAGGCTTGTCAGAACAGGAGAAATCGTGAGTAAAGTTCTGCAATCTGCTTAGAAAAGAGAGCTTCGAAATATTTTTACATTAGTAGAGGAGAAAGCACAGATAGTTCAACTATTGCAAACAAAGAAAACGCATCGAATTTTCTTACCTTCATTTTGAAGTTTTTCCAACGGTTTGCTAGAGACTACACAAAACACTGCTGCCAACACTATTGTAATTCTTAGATTTGCCATTTTTGCATTAAGCTTTTTGTGATCAATTCACTATGAATGCTGTGTCCTGCAATTTGGTTAAAGACGAATGCTTTAATGAACTGATGAAGGAAACTCGTATGCTGTACCTTTTATCAGCACTGAAGTATCCCCACCATTACTGAAACATGATGCTGATCGAACTAGTTAGCACAAAGTGCTGACGATACTCGCACCTGCTAATTCGTATTTTAAATAAATCGAGGTATTGAACCGCTTTGTTGAATTCTTGTGTAAATAGATATACCTACAATGTTATATTATAAGAAAAGCAAACGGCAAATACAAAACTGTTCATATATTCCGTTGTTTTTATATTTTTATATAAATTAATATTTTCAACACACACCTATTAGCCTAGCCCCAAAGTAGGCACTGTAAGGCTTGTGTAAATGCTAGGCTTACTACTATCTTCTTCTTATGGTGCCTCTCGATCTCCACTACTGGAAGTTGGCTCTGCGTATATATACATTTTGTGCTTTACCTAAATAGTTCTTCCATGATGGCGATACAAGTCTCTTCCTGATGTTTCTGAGTCAATAATTTTTCCTTCTTCCTATGCGTCATTTTCCCTCTGCCTTTCCCGTTATTATAAACTGGAGAACACAGCGCTTACGTCTTAATATATAATAAGAAAGGTAATCTACCTTTTTCGGTTATGATGTAAAATATAATGAGTCCAAACACTAAGATAATCAGCAGTTTTACTTGTCATGTGTGCAAACCGGGGTGCCTCCGCCAATCGCTATTGCTATAGTTATAGCTTTTAATTTCATTTTGTTATTTCTGACCGCCGAATAGCCTGATAGGCAGTAGGACCCCAGTTATCCTGGCTTACGTTGACGACCTGCAAGATGGTTGTTGAGGACCCTATCCATGAATTCCGATTTCAGATTGAACTAGTACCTTCGTCCTCTTCACTCCGGAATAGGTTCTATACCTGCTCCAGTTTTTGCTCTCGGACATAAAACAGTCTTCCGTGAAAAATTGTGTTAAAAGTTAATCTAAGTGATATTAAAATCGCATCCAAACATATGGCAGGGTTTGGGAGGAGTTGGCGACTAAATAGATACGGAAATCGATGAATAAATGGAGCATTTAATATTCTTTTTTACTTATAGGTAAGTAGTACTCATGCATTACTACACTAGTATGTGTTATAGTTGTGATTATGAGTGACGTCAACCATATACATTGGGATTTGTTATACCTATATAATCAAAAGTGAGGAGCTCAATGGCACAGGCGGTTAGCGCGTTCGGCCTGCGATTATGGAAGTTAAGCAACTTACGCAATGGTCCGTCATTGGATGGGTGAACAAAAACTTATTATCGAGTTCCTTCGTACTTCGGAAGGCACGTTTAGCTGTTTTTCCTGGCTGCATATGCAGTGGTTAGCACGCACCCATCAATCTGTACTGGGTCCGCATGGTGGGTCATGGCCCAATTGTCTCTATTCCATCTGTAGGGAAGGCCTGTCCCCAAATAATAGCGATATTAATAGGTTCATGATCCAGTCAACCGGACGATCCCATCTGTACCACGGGCAATGCACAATGATGATGATGATAATATAAACAAAAAAGCTGAACACATGATCATGTTATGTAAGGATGAGTGTTTCTGTAGAATTGTCTGACAATATCTGGTTCAAACCACTACACAATGACGTTTCACGTGCGAATGAGCCGCTAACGATTCACTAACGATATCCTAATCAAATATTTTTATCACCAATAGTGAATTATTTAGATAATCGATTACAAGGAAACTGAGATTTTTCATATGCAATAGAGCATGTTTGAATGATAGATTTGTAAATATAAATTGGAACAGTCTACAGTACAGTATGTTGTGAGAGTAAGCTTAGCGAGTATCTACGTAGAGATTTAACCTACGCCACATTCAATTAGGCTGAAATACATTTTACATTACATTACTCCTGAGTGCTACTACGGTCCAGGCCCATATTTAAAGATATGGAGGCCAGGCAACTGGCAACGAGAAGGAGGCCTGTAAATCTGGGCGGGCCACTTACGATATGTACCCTCTCTCTCTCCCCAGTTGGGGAATAAAAATATTTTTATATCAACGAAAATACCATTTATACGATTTTTTTAAATATCTCTGATGTGGAGGCCGGTGGGCCACAGCCCCGTATGATCTGCCGTAAATCCGGCCCTGACAGGACTGAATGCGTACCTAATATCACACTGAAGGTTCATTATTTAACTCCTTATAAAGGCTTTTTGTACTTGAATTTAATTTAAAATATCAGCCGCAGATGAAGAGTTGCGTAAAATCATACAAGAGTTAACAGTAAAGTAGTCGGGTATAAAAGCATTAAAACCAAATACTGTTCTTATACGACTCCACATAAATTTTAAATTTGTTGTGGATCGGGTCCAATCCACTATTTTCAGTTCATTCAATGAAGCGAGGGCGATGGTAAATAAAAACCCTGTTGCGTAGTTGAACTAAATGTGTCTTGCATGTAAAAAAACTTGTAATTAGTACAAACACAGTTTTTCAGAACAGCACAAAAGTAATTGCGTAGTATTTGAAACAAAAACCATGGAATAGCTGAATTGAATAACATAGACTAATAAATCAAAATCACTTTATTGCAAAACATAGACTTATAATTTTAATTAGGTAACAAAATACATCCGCCACAAATTCACTATGTCTTTATCGTTGTAGCAGTTACGGTAAAAAGCAATAGTGTTAAAGTTCCAACTGCCTTTCCGAACGGTTTATGATAAAGGGGTATTAAATATCGTTGATGATAAACCGCCCGCTGACAAATGGATGATGGGCGGATGAACAGCGCAAGCTTAGTAATAGTTTTTATTTATTTAATTCTAGACTAAAATCCATAGCATTTTCTTAATATAATACAGGTTTAAAATATATTTTATCTTAATGCCATTTACGGATTTTCATTCTTTAGTTATAGAATAAAAGTTTAGAGTATATTAGGGTTATATTGTCAGTCTTTGGGTATGGCACAATAAAAGTTATAAGTGACACATCTAGGTTTTCTAAAGTCAGCCAATACGAACAGCCATTTGAAGTATAGTGAGGAGCTTGATGGTACTGGTGCTTAGCGCGATGCCCTTGCAATTGTGGAAATTAAAGAACTTTTGCAATGGTAGGTCTTTGGATGGGTGACCAAAAACTTATAATCTCGATAGATTGAACTAGCTACATTATTTTACTGTGGCACGGCTCAATAATGCTTTGACAAATTTCCGATTTTTTCTAAGTAAATATATCTCTTAAAGTGAAAAAATAGGCCAAGTGCGAGTCGGACTCGCGCACCGAGGGTTCCGTACTAACCAAATAAAATGATTATTAAAAAAAATGTGATTCAAACTTAAAGAAAGGTTTACTAGAAAAAATGTGATTTGCTAAAAATTTACGGTTTTCGCAATTTTTCCTTTATATGATAAGCTATAAGACGTTGCTTCGTAACAAATTTCAAGATTGTAAGTTCACGGGAAGTAACCTGTAGGTTTTGATTCCCTGGCGAGTTTCGAATGGCATAAACGGCTGTATCTTTTGATTGCGTTGGCTTAGAAGTTTGATTTTTTCACAGCTCCAAGGGACAGTATTTGATATAAATTTCAGCTTGAGCTTGCTTGAGCGTGGAGGTACCACGCATTCCTGAGAAAAAGGGTCTTGACAGACGGACGGACGGACGGACGGACAGCAAAATGATCCTATAAAGGTTCCGTTTTTCATTTGTTTTTTCAAAATGATGTTGAGCTTTCAATAATAATTTGGTTAGGTTAGGGTTGCCAACCTCAAATTTAAAAAAACAAGATTTCAAGTTGGAAAAACCAGGACAATTCAGTTTAAAAACAGGACGCATTAATAGAGAAAAATATTTGTATTCTCTGAATAAATAATACCAATCATACAATACGATGATAAACGCTATAATACAATCATGAATATTTTTAAATATTTAAAAATGTTTAATTATGAAATATCTTATGTAAATGTAGCCTGTTCATTTATATTATACGAACATATTACAACTAAATAGTAATCTGACTTTATAGCTAATGCAAGAAAGGGACGGAATAGTAAGTACTACGCGACCATAGATAGTAGAGCATGTTGTGACTTGCGAGCCATGAAGCCTTACGTAGAGTAAAAATTTGAGAAGATGCGCGCTAATTTATAAATTTAAAAACCCAGGACACTGCTTATAAGCTATTCAGGACGTCCCAGGACACTACAAAAACTAGGACATGTCCTGGGAAAACAGGACGGTTCGCGGTGAACCCTAGGTTAGATACACGCGGCGCTTCAGCGCGTGACAATCCTCATATCATAACATTTTCACAAGTTCTTTATGGTACAAGCGGTAGAGCACAAGGACGCAAAATCTCTCGTTAGAAATCATAACATAAGCGCCAGTTCCTAAGTTTTGCAGTGTAGATAGTACCTATTAACTTATCTGTCATATACTACACTATTGATCCATTAATAAATGTATATTAAGGTGAGACTGTGAGGCGAGTCGTTACGTTCCCCAAAAAAATGGTTGAGCGAGCCGATTGGCTGGGTTCATGCGTCATACTCGTGAATCGGTGCTGCCAGCGGAGATGACTCTGCTCTTGCTACATTGGGTACTATTTATCGTTATATTTAACTTTAATCGTCCACATTTTAGGGCTAAACTGTAGGACACAGCATTCTTAAACTAAGTGTTTGTATAGTCATTATTTTTATATATTTTTTTTATGCATAAAAGGCAATGCGTTTGACCACAATCTCACCTGATGGAAAGTGATGATGAGGCCTAGGATGGTACACGCCTGCCTAGAAGATGTCTGTTCACTCTGGCCTTGAAGATGTCCAATTTTTATTGCCAATGAAGTGACTTCATGAATTCAAATTTCAAATCTCATATTGAAGTCATTTTTTAATTTTAATTTAACGACTCTGTATACATAGAGAAAAAACAGCCCTTGCTAAGTTTCGTGTCAGTTTTCTTCTCAGTACAAGGTCTTCCGCCGTAAAACGAATCGACGGAATAGCTTTTCGTCATTCACAAGTTCTTGTAACAGCCTAGACTGAATAAACGATATTGATTTTGAATTTAATCAATAAGATAATAATTCTTTCATAAAATTACATTTTGTTATTTATTGAGATTCTAGAGAAAATTAATAGAATCTCCTGTTTATTAATAGTCTGTAGAGTTGTTTTAAGAAAAGCGCTGTCTTAAAATAACAAAGAGCTAAAAATAATTTGTATCTATAGTCCATTCACTTTGGCGTGAGACAAAATGTAAACAAACCATAAAATGGATACTTTTTACGGTCACGTTTGACAAAAGTAAATATTAAATACTATTTATATAGGAAATGCAGCGAAAATTATGGTTAATTATTTTAAAACCTGTTACATACATATGAAAAAGAAAATAAAATATTTTACATTATATTCAACGTATATTCACATCATAAATTCGTATATTTTTAATTTGCCGGTAAAATTATTTTAACAAATTAAGTTGACATGGAAAAAGACCTATAAACACAATCATTCCCAAACTTAAGACGTATTATAATACGACAAAATTTAAAAGTAGACATGATATAAGTATTTTACGTTGAAGTGTTGTGTTTTGTAATCGGTTGGTTTATGTCAGCCATCTTCTTTACTCTCCCGATCAACCTGTAGACGCGAGCGTGCTTATTCAATCTTATTTGTTAAATTCTTGTTATTTCCTTGTTTTATTTGTTGAGTTTGTTGTTATTTTATTTACGTTAAGTATAAAGTTATTTGTGATTGTTTTCTTGTTGAATTGACGTTTTCGTAGTTATAGTTATGAGTGGTGAACCGGGACCAAGCAGCTCTTGTACATTTTTTTCGCCAAAGAAAAAGCGTACAAAGAGTGGTCCATTGCGCTCCAACGAAAAGGAGCTCGTGATAAATGTTTTAAAACATGTTGAAGAAACCTGGCCAAAAGATTCCTATCCATATAAAAGTGATATAATCAATAAATCCGCCGAAATACTGGGCATATCATAATACTATCGGAGTGTTGGTTGAGCAAGTGTTCTTATCTTCCCAAATTGCATGGCTTTCAAATTCATAAAAGTAAATTCTGCAACCAAAATGATGGAGTGGTTGTGTATATAAGGGATAGTATAGTAGTTAAAGTTTATGAGCCTGCTGTAGCTGATGCAAACTGTTTAGCTATTCAACTTTCACATGATGTGGTGATTCTCGCCATGTATCGTTCGCCATCGAGTAAAAATATTGAAAATTTTATTAATTCATTGGATAACCTTTTGGTCTCGCTAAAATGTTTCAAAACTGTTGCAGTTATTGGTGATTTAAATATAAATATACGACCAGAAAATACCGATCAAAATTCATATTTTTATCTAAACTTGTTGGCATCTCATTCCATGCTTCCAGCTCATTTATTACCGACTCGCTGTAACAACTGTATTGACCATGTGATGGTGAAAAGTGAAAACCGCTCTATCACCTTAGTCTTAGACTCTTTGTTGACAGACCACTTTCCATTATTATTCTCTTGTGCATTGAAGGGTAAAGTTGGTCGGTCTATTGGGACTCGCATATTGAAGCGAGTTGACATACAGGCCTGCGTGGTAGAACTTGAAAATAAAGATTTCTCCCAAGTGTTCAACAGTGCCAATGCGGAAATTGCAGCAAGTTGCTTGATTGAAATTTTATCTTCCGTAATCAGGGCTAATACTAAACATATAAAAATTTCAAATAGAAAAATTATCTCTAAGCCCTGGATAACACCTGGCTTGCTGCGTTGCATCCGCCATAGGGATAAACTGTATCGACAAACTAAAAAACATCCAGACAGTAAACTCTTAGATACTACTTACAAACGCTATAAAATTTTTTGTAACAATCTATTAAAGAAAGTTAAAAAGGAATACGAGCGATCTGAATTCCAAAAACACAAAAAGAAACCAAAGGAATTATGGAATCTTATTAAAAAAGTCACTAATCTTAACCAAAAGGATTCTGCCTCTGACGAACTGTTATCTACATCTAATGACCCGCAATCGGCTGTTGAATCGGTCAATGCATTTTTTTCTAACGTGGGCAAAAATTTGGCTACTAACATAGTTGAAGACTCTTTGAATACGACACTCTTCAGTTCATCCAGAAAACCCGATGTTTCTGTTTTGGACTCCATGGTATTGCTGGACACTGACTATAAGGAAATTGAGAAAATTATCTTGAGTCTTAGGCAGAATTGTGCAACTGGCTGTGATGGTATTCCAATATCCCTGATTAGGGAATCGAGGCATATCTTGATTCCCGTTCTCAAACATGTGTTCAATTTATGTTTTTCTTCGGGCACTTTTCCTACAATTTTCAAGAAAGCATTGGTTCACCCCATTTATAAGGGTGGAGACAGATGCAGTGTCAATAATTACAGACCAATATCGGTCCTACCTACTCTGTCTAAAATTCTGGAAAAAATCCTAAATACTAAACTAATAAATTATTTAGACGCCAATAATCTAATTGCTTCTAATCAATTCGGTTTTAGGGCTGGGAAATCAACGGAAGATGCAGTTTTGGAATTAACCAGCACTGTCGTTAAAAATCTTAATTGTAAACTAAATTCATTGTGCATATTCCTTGATCTCACTAAAGCATTCGACACTGTATCTGTTTCCATTCTGCTTTCAAAATTACAACGTATTGGTATAAGGGGTACTGTGCTAAAAATATTTGAGAGCTACCTTTGTGATCGTACTCAATGCGTTACTATTGGCAGTTATACTAGTCGATATG